TTACCAGATTACTGTCTCTGGTCACGGGATTTTAAACATGATGAGGTAGCAAACTTGTTGAAGTTGCTGTGCAAGAACGTTGAAAAAGACATTGAAATCATCATGAAGTCAAAACTGTAAAAGAATAAAGAAAGACTGGTAATGGCGTCTAAATGAATTGAGATTCTAGGGAAGCTGCCCACTCACCCCCTCCCCGAAACAAAACACTTTAAGCAACAAGACGCTATGGGAGCGTACACTTTGGAGTCGTGGTTGTGGATTAATTGTAAATGCAATGGAATAGTAGGAAATGATAGTTTTCCGGACACCCTTCCATACAAATACCCTTACTTTTCTTCTTTTGTGTAACAGACGTCATTAACTTCTACACCGGAAGTCTGCTAGGTGCATGACCGCGTGGCTGTAACCCAATTCGATTATAATTTCTGTCATAGTAAATAAACTGGAAAGTGTATTAAAAAGCATATTTAGCATTATTTTGGCCGCTGGATTTCGAAAAAAACACAAACACGGCAGTACAGTTCGCGTGAAAATTATTATAAGCTTACTTCGGTCGTAGTACAGAACTGAAACTTTGATCTATCGGCGGGGAATTTAACCGGCAAACAAATAAATTTGGTATTTCCACGGTGTAAAACGAATTCCAAGCTAGATTTCAGGGAGTAAAGGCAAGGTTTCGACGGTAAAAAGCTAAACTGAAATTACCTCGCGCTCCGTCGAGTAATAATTGCGTAGTCAGTAATAAACGTTGGCCTAAGGGAGGGGTAGGTCGGAGGTACCCCAGAATGAGAATCTTCTTGTACTCACCTTTATGCATTGATCGTTGAATTAAGGCGAAATTGCCTTCAAGGCAGATGCAGCCACATCACCAAGCTTCGACATATTGTCCCAAACGGAAGCAGATCTCAAGATCCTCCAAACAAATCAGCAAGGAACTCTAAAAGTGTCGAGAGTATTGACTCAGTGTCGAGTTTTAAATCTACAATTGATCGATCATGATATCCTTTATGAAAAATTCGAGGCCTTCAATGCATTTCGATGTCGTTTCCGAGACGAAGTTGTTCGGACCACGTGACCCGAAACGCATACAACACTGCAGTCGACTCCCGATGACGCGAATCCTTGATAAATCGAACCTCTCGCGAACTCGAAGAAAATTTTGGTTCCTGTCAGATCAATCATTGATATAAAATTTTTCCCTCGATAACTTGGATCATGTTTCAAGCGCGTAACAACTGGAAAAAAAAGCATTAAACTGTAGTCCCAAACATTTTTTGTCAGTCCAATTCAGATGTACAATGGTTAGCGCTGTGCTGTAAAGTATGCAAAATACTTGTATTCATCCCACACCAGTTCCCTTATGGTTCAGTCAATTCCAAACGTGCTCATCCTCCCTCGGGCATTTGTCGGGCATCTGTCATTTTGTTTTAGAAAAGCTGCAATAATGCCCCACAGTGGGGCTCGAAGTTCATACAAAAACCCACGGTGAGGCTTAAAATTTGGGTGCAAGCCCCACCCCGGGACAACACCAAAATTGTGTTTTCCAGTAAATTAGCTGCGAATACCATATTTATGGGAAATCTCTATTAATCTGATCAAAGCGCGTGAAGCGCCCTACGCAAATCGCCCTTAGTCAATAAGATCACATCTGATTAATATCAGTGACAGAACTGTAAACTAGAATTTAATAATAACTTTCTTATTTTCGAAAACGTTTAATTAATAAAATAAAAGTGAATGATAAACAAACAACTGATGAGCTTAACATGAGTATTTTCTAGTTTTAGTGTCCGCGTCCGCTTAATACAGGTGTCCGCTGAATAGGGGTTGGTTATAAAAGGAAATATAAGACGTTCGTTTCGGGACCGACTTTGTGTCCGCTTAAGGAGGGTGTCCGCTTAATTGGGGTCCGCTTAATAGAGGTGTCACTATAGTAGCTTTCAAATATCTCGCAAAGTTTTTCTAGGCCCTTCTGCCTCGACCATATTCACGCAGAAAGAAAATGCCTTTGCCTTTAAACTCTTCAAACGATACATTGATTGTTTTTTCCTCCATGTGCGAACTGATCACGATGGAGACAAGTAATTACTTGAATGAATGCAAAAAGTACAGTGGAATAGGGAAGTGATGAAGCGCAAACCACACAAATCTCTTTAAAGCAAAAATATTAAAAATATTCTTTATAGAAATATCTTATATCTTATATCTTATATCTAGCCGGATTTATGAAAACCGTAACATCGGACACCAGGAGCCCACACACCTTAAACTGACTCAACTAAAGTAAATATCGCCAAGAAACTCAGCTCTTACCCATGGTTCTCTTAAGGTGACTCTCTTCTTGGTTCCTGATTAGCAAAAGAAACATTCAAGTCCATCAAAAAGACACTCTGGACTTGTCCATACACTCTAGCTGCTTAAAGGCCCTGAATGACGGAGGACGCTTGAGACTTCAGCAAGTTCTAAGCAGAGAATTCAAGGTTAAGTCACCCCCCCTGACTTCCTCCCCCCCCCCAGCCTAGCACGTGCTTGAGGGGAATGCTTTCATTGGCCAATGGGCCTCAAACGTCACAAGAATTTCACATGACAAACTAAAGGCAGACGTGACCAGTGCACTGACTCTCCCAGACCAGGACTAACGGAAGGTACAACGCTTTTGCAGCAGCCTCCCCCCCTAGGGATTGACGTGGAGGCCCCTTTCCAACCCATGGCGAGTTAGCTCAGGGACTGAACTTGACAATGAGACCAAGCAGGACAGCAAGCCCCCTATGTTTTCTCTCAGCGCAGTGACCAGAAAGCTGGCTATGGCCAGCTTTCTGTGCGAATATTCTGGTGCATTTTCAGGTAGGTTTTCAAAAATTCGGCTAGATATCCAATTACGCATAAGGAACGACGTTAACCGCTTCTACAAGAATTTCCGGGAAGAATTTACAAATTCCCTTACCCCGGGCAGAGGTTTTCTGAATAATTCTTCACCGCCGGGTCGACCGATAAGATGACAAATGCCTGACGAATGCCCGCGGAGGAGGGGGCATGGGCACGCTTGGAATTGACTGAGCCATTATTTCTTTTGCTTCTAACTCCCGATTCTTGAGCAACTTTTGGAGCGGAAGCCTTGTTTATTCAACAGGTTTTGAACGCTGGCATTGCCCGGTCTAATTGTACTACATACCAACAAGGTTTTAATACAATCTGATTCAGTTCAATTCAGTTTAAAATTACTGTTTTGCCATATATATAAGGCCCGGTTCAGACGCCGAACTTTTCATGCATGAGCCGAACTTAATTCGAATTGAGGTCGACCCAAATGTTTTAGACCGGCCAGATTCAGACGCCGATCTTAATTGCAGCTGAACTAAGTTCAAACGGCGAAAAATTTTTACTTCGGTCAAACTGCTTATAAAAAACGTTATAACAATTTATGCATTAGGTTCGGTACATGAAAAGTTCGGCGTCTGAATCAAAGCCGTTCCAAAGTCGCTCCAAAGGCGAAATTCCCGGTCGGGCTAGGCGAAAAAAGCAGTCGAGCCGTTTCAAATTGAAACAGGCGATTCCAATTGATTCTGGCACCGAACTTTTCATGTACTTAATTCAAGGTATTAGGTTCGGCTCATGAAAAGTTCGGCGTCTGAATCGGGCCTTAAATGTCTTAGATGTACAAAAAGAAGAATATCAAATTTTTAAAAAGCTAATGGCGATGAAGCTCAAGGGAAACCACCGGGCTTATAAGGAATGGGCTCCCCCAGTTAAATTGTTACAACAAAATATGAACAGAATTATACATCCAAAAATCGATGGCAGATCGAGATACTGTAAATCTTAAAATATAATTAGATAATCATAGTTAGGCTAACTCTATCATGTTAGCTTAATTCTGTATGCAAAATGAAATGAAATGAAAAAATTAAATGGTCTCTTGTCTAAACAGGGTTGAAATGAATCGAATGTATAAAACAGGGTCAGGGTTTAAAGACTTAAGCAGTGGCACACCTCTTCCCAAACGTTCCATAAGTAGCCTGAGTATCAGGCGTTTCTGGAGGAAAAGGGGAAGGATGGAAGCGAAAAAGGGAGAGAGCTGAAGGAGAGAAACGCCTGACTCAGATGCTATTACTGGAGCCTTCCACCCCCACCTCTTCTCCCTCGTCCCCCCTCCCCCATCTAAAATCTCCTCTCCGTTAGCCCCTTAGGAAGGCCTGATACTCAGGCTATTCCATAAGTCGGATCATGATTATTGTGTGACCACAGGCATCCCAAGCTCACGCTACGAGAGTGTTATACGTAAATCGGTGTCGCGTTACAAAGGCGACCGTTGATACTTTGTATGAAAAATAGAATACTGAGGTCTGCAAACGCTAAATATCATTATTTTTACTTCTTTTTTTTTTCAATCAATAAAATGAATAAAGGAGACTTTCCTTTGATGTATTCCTGTGCTTTTTGGTGTGAATTCATCGATTTAGTCAGTTTTTTGGCTGTTATTGTGTGACCCCTGACACTCTCTTCATAATAAGGAGACATCAGTATTTCATTACTCATACAAAGTCTCAACGGTCGCTTGTAACGCGACATCGACTCCCTTGTGAAAAAGTTAATTTACATTTCAAAGTGGACAGACTGCAAATTATAGTAGTTGCTAAAAGATATATATCTACGAGTCGCAACTGTTCATCAGTAGGATGCCTAAAATGCGTGCAATTCCACAATTGGTTTCGGCTCCATTAAATCCTATACCAATTGCAGAAAATTTTATGAGGAGCCACCCACCATGTGAGCACAGTCACCGGACAACACATTAAGTGAGGAAAATAACGCAAAGTAGAATAAAGACGTTAATTAACGAACTAAATGTACACGTCACTCGTAACGTGAACTTGGGATGCCTGTGGTGTGAAGTGTTTGCTTTTGGCTGGTTGTTGTGAGGCTGTTCCGAAACAAAAGAAATGCGATCCGGTTGGAAAGCCGCCGCATCGCAATTATAAGGTTCCCTTTGTACTTTGTAGGAGCAAGGCAGCGCATCAGTTAATATTGAAGACATGCATAGCTTAGAAAACGAATTAAGAGAACTTAGTGTGTGTCCGCCGACACGAAGAAACAATAGGTCGAACAGTGCAGAAACTTCTGATGGAAATACAGCTGCCACCACTTCCCCGTCGCATTTGGATCACTTCATACGAGACCTGGATGAACGAAAAGGCAAGCTATCTTGTTGTCAAGAGGTCACTGAAATTCAGACCAGTGTTGAAAGGTTTCTTAAAACTCTTCTTGAGAAAGTAGAGAAAGACCATCCATTCTACAAAACAACACTTATTAAAAGTGGAAGCTTCTACGAAGGAACGAAAGTCGGAAAACCCGACGAGTTTAAGTTCGACTATTTTGTTCAGTTGGATAACTTCTCTCAACCCGAAGATATTCGTTTTGAGGAGTTAGCACATAGTGTAGTTACAGTGATTCCAAGCGAATCAGCTTTCGAAAAGCTTTTAAAGGTGAATCCTACCCTTTGTTCTTTTGATTGGAGAGAAAAGATAAAGAGGCCGTGGTTTGAAGCGTTCGATCTACAAGTCCTTTCAGACACAACGCGTAGACATGGCCCTGCTTATACTTTACACCTCAAATGGACTGGAGGGAAAATATACAAAGGATTAAATATCGCTGTTGATTTGGTTTTAGCAGTGAAGATTAACTCTCATTCTTCAACTATGGAAGTAGATCTTGAATCTCAAGCCGGAAGCGTTGTGTCGTCTTTGTTACATACTTTACCATACTACTTTGCAATAAACGGATACAAGGAACGCACATTTTCAGAACCAAACTTATTCAAAGAGGCGCAAAAACGTAGAGAAGAAGGTTTAGGCTTACCAATATCAATAACCTATAAATCTGATTGCCTTTTACGTATTTCTCAGTCTTGCCTCGAACAGTCACTGTTCCGTGATCATTTTGGTCCTGATGGTGGACCAAGTGTCTGTCTCAGGGTGCTCAAGGTGTTGCGTGACATGATTCGCAAATTTTATCAGCATGGCCATCTGCATGCTGGCCTGTTCCCTGGTACATGCCATCTATGCCAACCCATGGACACCTTTGATAAAAGTAAATCTGTTGACCAGAATTTACGGGAATTTATTAACAATGACAAGAAAATTAATTCTAAGGGGCATCAGAAAGTTGTCTCTTTGTTTAGTGATACAGAACCAGCCGAATTTATTTCATCATACACCCTCAAAACTCTTGTTTTGTTTGAATGGAGTGAAAACCCAGAAGATGAGCAGTGGACTGGGAGCAACCTCACTCAACGTATTGTGAACTTCAGGGCGGAAAAACGTTCTGCGCAAGCTTCTGCGCATCCTTTATCGCAGGCTCAAGGCGGGCTTTACTGTGTGTTGACTGTGTTCGACAGTTTGTTTGTTTGTCACTGGGAGATTTCTGACTGAGACTGAATGAAATGCGCAAGGTGTGAGCGTTTGCTCCTCGAAAAGCCTTTTTGCTTTTGTGTGGTTTTTGTTTTTCGTCACTTGAAAATTACTTTGGACTCGGAACAACCAATGTTAAAGGAAAAACGGATCATTCCGTCAGTCTGAGGTGGAATAAAGAGTTTTGAACATTTCTAAAGAGGGGAGTATTTTTTTGATTGTTCATTCGATTTATTTGTGAGTTGATTTCGCCTTCTTTCGCCGGGCTGAATTAAAACCCACTCTTTTTTTAAATTAGTAAATACTTTTTCACATGCCCAGATTTATTCCCTTTGTAGAACCAGCTTTATCCTTCTCTTCAGTCAAAGAACCATTTTGTGCGCCGTAAAACTTTCTCGGAAATACCGGTAGAAGGCCAGTAAACTTACTCTAGAAGAAAAGAATCATTTTTCTGTTGCTCAAATACTATAAGTAGTCAGAGTTTTCTTCACTTTTAATTGCATAGTTTTGTTTTCCACTGCACTGTGAAAGTTTCTGTTCTTTATAAGAAATAACTTTCTGTACGCAAATTTTCCATTTCACTCGCTGTGAAGTAGAGGACAACTGCCGGCAGTCACTTCAAAACAATTGACTCTGCCCGTAACACTGAATTGCTGGAGCTGGATTTGTCTGAAGCAAGCAAAACAAATACCCTTATGTGCAGTTTTCTGAATTTTGTAACGATTGGCTGAGTTTAATTTGTTTGAATGAAGACCCTCACATGGACCAGTTATTCACTGAGTTACCCGGTATTAAAGCGAGGAGATCTAGAAGAGCCACATGGTGAATCATGGTTTAGCTGCGAAGCTCACTGCAACTGATCTTTTGCTTTTAAGATCTTTAGGTAGGTTGTTTTCGTACAAAAAATTCATTTCTTCATTGTCAGCAAGAAGTTTTTGCAATAATGTAATTTTAACTTTGTTTGAAGGAAATCCTACTTTAACTTACGTGTAGGTTTTTGACAGATGTTATGTATTTTCAACTTGACAACACAAAGCATAATATTTATCTGTTAGTACGCGAAACGATCAAGTTTAAAAATAAACTATAGTTGCTTTAAAACCGATTTTTGAGAAGATTTTACTAGATAAAGATTGACCTTTTTTCTGCCCGCATATCAACGCAATAACTTCTACATTGAGGATTTTGTTTATATTTTAGTTATCTGCGAAACTACGAGTGTCCGATCGAGCGAGGGTTTTAAAATATCAGCTCGAGTGCGACAAGTTTAGTGCCTTCAAACACATTGTGGGCAAGCGTTAATATTTTTGGGCAAATCACTGTCCAAAGATATGTTGTTTTTGTGTCCACAGTGGAGCTCCGGACCTTATATATTCAGGAACTTCCTTATATGAACACATTTTGTGAATGCATCTTGAAAAAAATCGGACCTACGCATGCACATTTCCAGTACAACGCAAGGAAATTGATGTCGTTAAAGTCCGTTTTACTATGAGGTATCCTTCGAGAAAATTAAGTAACGACAAGGTTATAACCACAGCTTGCAACTTTTGAAGACAAATTGCCTGTTCTTTCCAGGTTATGAGTGGAAACATCTTATTTTTAGGCAATAAAATATTTGAAATCCCGCCATTTTTTCAAACCCGGCCAGGGGATCTGGGCAAAAAAGTTCACGCATGCTCATGACGTTTTTCCGCCCTGAAATTGTGAACATATTTACTGTTCTTCTTGATTTCTTAAAGCAAAATGAAGGGATAAGACGCTTTTGGTATACAGACTACCATGTTCTCTCCGTGACTTCGGAATATCGTGATGTTCTCCTGTCTGATGCCATCAACAGGGTGGCCAGCATTTTGAAAAGTTTATCATCCTTACGAAGTGCCAGCCAACATTGTTTTGAGGGTTGTGTTCAATCTCTTACAAGTTTACTGACGTTAGCTCGCCGTAAGACGACATTGACAAGATTCTTGCACAGTGCACTTCGCGACATTTTTTGTGATACGATTAGAGAGATTCTGAAGGAATCCGTTTGTAACACGGAAAAGAAAGAAGGTCCTCCTATTCCAACAGGTCTTGAATGGATGATGATGACAGTAGTACGTGTTGATGTAGGTTCCATTTTCTGTGGTATCTACATTCAAGCTCTTCTTGAAAAATTAGCGCCAGGGGAGGAATTTCAATTTTTTAGCTCTTACTTCAAAAGAAAGAACTACACGACATTTACTAGTAATTCAGTCATTGGTGATAGACGTGATAGGTTTACTCGGGAAGAAGCTGAGGAGATTGTTAAGAATGCAAGACATATTTTTGAGGAAAATGGACTTAAAAGAATGACTGACGATCTTGACTTACCAGACTATAGCCTCTGGTTACGGGACTTCAAATATGATGAGGTAGCAAGCTTGCTAAAGTTGCTGCGCGAGAACTTTGAAAAAGACATTGAACTCATGAGGAATAAAATCAAAGCTTTAAAAGAATCAAGAAAGACTGGCAATGGCGAGTAAAATTCTGGGGAAGCTGCAGCCTCCTCTCCCATAAACACTAAATACACTTTGCGCTAAAAAGGCCTTCTTAGTGAGAAGATAGTGATAAACGTTGGCCTTGGGGAGGGGTAGGTGGTTTCTGCAGAACCTTCATGCACTTACTTTGATGGATTGAATTGAAGGGGGATTGCCTTCAAAGCAAATGCAGTCACATCACTAAAATTCGGAATATCGTCGAAAACGGAAGCAGATCACAAGATCTTCCAAACAAATCAATATCAAACTCTGAAAGTGCCAAGAGTACTAGTCTGAAATCTACAACTGACCATGATGTCCTTTATGAAGAGATCGAGGCCTTCGTGAAATCACAACGGGACTTAAACAACAAAACTAATAGTCAGATTTCAGCAAACTTAATGCAAATAAGGGAGTACACTATTTGCGGGAAAGATCTCAAACAAAAATGTTGAATCACCACAGAGAAATTTCTAGCATTTGAAAATCGCATAAAGGTGATCAAAGCTGAAATCAGAGACTAGCAAGAAAAGTCGGTAAGGCTAATTTTTGAGGGGGAGGGGGGTGGCAGGGAGGATGGAGGAACGATGCCAACATTCAGCTGATATTGACCAAGTTGACAAGTTTGGCCAGCAAAGGATTTATTATATGGAAAAAATTTTTTTCTCGTGGGACAAATCGAGAATCCTGAGCGGGCAAGGTAAGCCCATCTTGTCTGCACAGCTATAACCAATCAGAGCACAGGATTTGTTCCACATTACCCGCTCGCGGAGCCTGCAATCCTAAGCGTAATCACATAAGAGTTTGCGTGAGAAGTAAAACTTACAACAACAATTTAGCGTAATTACACTGATAGGCCAGTGGTCTTATACACTAATTTTACTGTTTAAGAAAAATAAATTGATGACTTTTACCAGTTTACCAGTTTTAGTTCATTTATTGTTCTGCAATTTATGTTTCTTTACAAACTCTTTTATTACACTTATGCTACCAATGGTTATGGAGAATAAATCAAAATACTTACATTTAATTATGCATAGAGGGAGTCTATTAGGCCAATTCCGATATGTGTATATTAAAATTCATACTTGGCTGCGAGGTTTGGGGGAATAAAGGTGGTGTTACACGGGACGATTCCCAGCGACGATTTTTAGCGCAACACAGCGTTGCAACATTGTTGCGACATTGTTTCGAATGGTTGTAACATTGTTCCAACATTGCAACGCTGTATTGCGCTAAAAACCGTCGTTGCGAATCGTCCCGTGTAACATCACCTTAAAACAAAAGAAATCATCTTGAGGCTCAATAATGAATAATACATTTCTTTTGTTTTACTCCTCCGAGCCTCGGAGCCAAGTATGAATTTTAATACATCGAAAATGGTCTATTTACGAAATTGATCTGCTAGATTTGCTTCAGAGACCTTAAATAAATGAAATGTAAATTTCAGTAGTATTTGTCGCCTCAAGCCAAAAATCAGTGAAATGCTTAGCGACTATCAACGTTTTTGAAATCAGCAATTGGACCGACGACAAAGTGCTTTCGGAAAAGTTTTAGCCGAATTAATGCATAATTGTTTTTTTATATAGTAAAATTGTCGGACTTAATAATCATTGTATTTCATAAGTACGTCTTTATGTATTAATCAACTGCAACTCTAGTGGCAACGACACGTCACGCTATCAACCGGCTCAAAACGCGCGATCTACGAAGGTCCAATCAGAATTTTACATAATATGACGACAGGCTTGACTGAATAAAAAGAAAAGCAGCCATACCGTGAAGAATGATTCAGCGCAATCATAAGTTATTAAGTTTTCCTTGCCACTGAGCAAGGTGTAAGTCGGCAAAAGGCATGGTTTGATTTTTTTTCGCCTTTTTTTGGATGGTGGTGGTGAGTTGCATAGTAAAGAAGAACATGAATTAAGAAAACTGGATGCAAGTCGCAGAACCGATCGAAAAGGGAGTATGCGTCAAACACTCCGGAACGCTTCTGATAATATTATACAGCTGTCGAGTCGGCCTTGTTCACTTCTGATAGTCCGCTCTTCAAACGAGATCTGGATAAACGTAAAGGCAATGCCTTGTCGTTAAGAAGCCATGCACATGACATCAGTACAGACCAGTGACTCTTCTTTAGTTGGGAAGAAGAGAACGACCTTCCTTTCTTTCTTTCTTCACTGAAAATATCACTTATTACATAACAGAACCGTGGAAGCTTCTTTACCAGGAGTCGACTCGCACTGAACCCGAGGCGTAACGTATATCAGATGAGTGTGACTGCTTTGCAAGATGATTTTCAAAGGTTTCAAGTAAGTCGGTCGATAGAGAATGGGCCAATCGAATCGGAGCTTCCTAATGAAAGCACCGCACCAGCTACCGAGTCCCTGTCGCCTTTAGATCTCTTCATACGAGACCTGGATGAACGAAAAGGCAAGCTACCTTATTGTCAAGAAGTCACTGACATTCAGACCAGTGTTGAAAAGTTCGTTAAAGCTCTTCTTTTGGGAGTAGAAAAAAAACTTCCTTTCTACAAAACAACCCTTGTAAACAGTGGGAGCTTTTATGAAGGAACAAAAGTCGGAAAACCCGACGAGTTCGACTATTTTGTTCAGTTGGATAACTTCTCCCGACCTAAAGACATTCTTTATGAGGAATTAGCACATTGTATGGTGATAGTCATACCGAGCGAAGCTGCTGTAAAAAAATTTCGAAAATTCAATCCTAATTGTTTCCATTTTGAATGGAAAAGAGAAGTGAAGTCGCCTTTTGTTGAAGCATTTTCTTGTTTCTTAGCGACTGGGTTTAAGGCGTTCGGTTTGAAAATATTATCCCACATGTTGAACAGGCATGGGCCCGCTTACACTTTGGAGCTCGAGTGGAATGGAGGGGAGATTTATAAAGGTTTGAAAATCAAAATTGATCTGTCTTTGGCAGTAAAGATTAATTCCCATTCTTCAACAATGGCAGTAGATTTTGAATCTGGAGCTGGTAAAGTCGTGAAATCATTGTTACATACTATGCCATATTACTTTGCCGTAAGTGGATATAGAATGTATAGACTTTCACCATCGAAGTTATTCAAAGAACATAAACCTGGAGCTGCCGAGGATTTGAGCATAATGAAAGAAAATGACTGCTGTTTACGTTGTTCTCAGTCATGTCTTGAACTGTCACTTTTCCGCGACCATTTTGGTCCTGATGGTGGACCAAGTGTTTGTCTCAGGGTGCTGAAGGTATTGCGTGACATGACTCTTCCATATGCCGAGGATTCGTATATCCGTAACCTGAACCGATACAAATACAACTCAGTGGATAAAAGAGAGTCAGAATGTATTGACAAGTATGTGAGTAAATTTTTTAATGACGATGAAATGCCGGTCTCTGACTCAGATATAGATCCAAATGAATACGGTAGTACCAAATGGATTTCGTCCTACACCCTTAAAACTCTTGTTTTGTTTGAGTGGAGTAAAAACCCAGAAGACGAGCAGTGGACTGGGAGCAACCTCACTCAACGTCTTGTGAACATACTCCATAATCTTCTCAGTGCTTTAAAGAAAAATAAAGGGATAAGAAGCTTCTGGTATAAAGACTATAATGCTCTGCCTAAAGAGGGGGAAGCCTTCCTTCCAGGAGCCAGAAACAGGGTGACCATTATTCGCAACTGTGTATCATCTTTAGGAAATGCTAGCAACTACTGTTTTGAGAACTGTGTTCAGACTTTCACTAATATTCTAACGATGGCTCGTCAGAAAAGAAAATTGGCAGATTTCTTGCACACTGCACTGCGAAAGATTTTTTGGGATAAAGTTAGAGAGGTTCTGGAAGTCTGTTGGTAAGAAAAAGAAAGAAAGGCCTTCTATGGCCAAAGGTCATGAAGCAATTCTCGCGGACATTTCTGACATAGATTTTCTTTGGGGTCCTGATACATTTAGTGACATCTACCTTCAAGCTCTACTTGATAAAATAGCACCAGAAGAAGATTTAGTTCTTACTTATTACTATGAATGCAGGAACTCGGAACGGATAGTTGCGTCAGGTATTGACTGTCAGTGTACTAAAAAAGAAGCTGAGGAGATTTTAAAGAATGCAAGAGATATCTTTGAGGAAAATGCACGTAAAAGAATGAACGATCTTGATAATCTACCAGACTACAGCCTCTGGTCACAGGATTTTACACCTGATGAAGTAACAAACATGTTGAAGTTTTTGTGTGAGAACTTTGAAAAAGACCTTGAAATCTTGCGGAAGAAACTCAAAACTGAAAAAGAATCAAGAAAGCCTGGCACTGGCTTGCAAACGTGACATACGTTTATAAAGATAACGGCGGGTACGATTCTGGAAAACTGCCTATATACCTTATACGCCTCCCCGAGTCTCAGGCTATTACCCAACATTTTGCTCTTAATTAGAAATTAGTGACAAAGTTGGTCCCTCTGCCAATATTCGCGGGGAAGGAGACCAAGAAATTTAAAGTAACTGGTCAGGACAAAAATATTTTGCAGAAAGCACTTGCCTATCTTTCGTAAAATAAAAATTACAGTTAAATTAGGTCATCGACATTAAAATGTGCGTTACATAAAAGTGCCTTACGCTCATTTAGTTCAAGTTGGTTCAGTGCCCGGGGGGGGGGGGGTACTCCCTTACAAGAGGCTAATAGGAATGTGCCGCTGGATGGGGTCGCATTTTCGCGACTGGAGTGACTACAATGGGGTCGGATTTTCAATAGATTTACTAGAATGGGGTCGCAAATTTCCGGTGTTTTGGGGTAAGTAGGGGATTCAAAATGGGAAGATACTCTGTTAACAAATCAGAAAGTTGCTATTTATTAAATTTAACAATAAGCTCGCATTGACCGCAGAACATTCCGCCGCTTGAAACCACATTGAGAAGGTAGATGCATAAATAGAAAGTGACTAAGTTGGGATCGCGAAAATTACATTTTCCAAAAAGTGACTTAGATGGGATCTATATAATTGGCCAAAAAATAGACTATCATGGGGTAGGGGCTCTGAGAGGCCAGCGGCACATACCCAGCAAACATTAACCTAAGTACCCCCCTCTCCCCAGGGGTTCAGTGATAGCTGATCACGGTTTCGATGGTTTCGTTTCGCTTGCAATGCCGGGTCTATTTATATCAACATCTTTGTAACACAATCTTATTCTATCATGTTAGCTTTTATATACAAAATGAAATAAAATGAAAAAAATAATGGCCCCTCTTGTCTAAACAGGGTATTGAAATGAATGGTGGTTGTTGTCTAAAACAGGGTCAGCTTTCTCAACGGCATCAGTGGCACACCACACCCCTACCGTGGGATCATGATTATTGTGTGACATGTTGACGGCAACTAAGCTTGTGGCTGGCTGTTGTAAGGTTGCCCTTTTACGAAAAGAAATGCGAGCCGTATTGGAATGTAGCCACATAGTGGCGACATCGCAAGTATAAGTTTCCTTTTGTCCTTTGTAAGAGCAACGCAGCGTCTCAGTGCAGTCAATGGTGGAGACATGCATAGCTTAGAAAAGGAATTCAGAGAACTTGATGTAAGTCCGCCGACGCGAAGAAAGACTGAGTCAAACACTGCAGAAACGTCTTATAGAAATACCGCTGCCTCGTCCCCGTCGCATTTAGATCTCTTCATACGAGACCTGGATGAACGAAAAGGCAAGCTACCTTGCTGTCAAGAAGTCACTGAAATTCAGACCAGTGTTGAAAGGTTTCTTAAAGTTCTTTTACTGGCAGCAGAAAAAGAACTGCCATTTTACAAAACAACACTTGTTGAAAGTGGAAGTTTCTACGAGGGAACGAAAGTCGGAAAACCCGACGAGTTCGATTATTTTGTTCAGTTGGATAATTTGTCTCGTCCTGAGGAAATTCGTTTTGAGGAGTTATCACATTGCATGGTAGCAGTGATTCCAAGCGATTCGGCTTTTGAGAAAATTACAAAAACGCAGGAGGAATACAATCCTTCTTCTACTTTCATTAGTTCTTTCCAATGGAAGAAAGGCGTAAAGTCACTATTTATCGACACACTGAATAGTATATTAGCCCAGGAGTTTGCAGCATTCGGTTTCAAAGCATGGGCCTGCTTACACTTTAGAGCTCGAATGGAGCAGAGGGCAGCTTTATAAAGGATTAAAAATCAAAATTGATTTGTCTTTAGCAGTTAAGATTAATTCTCATTCTTCAACAATGGCAGTAGATTTTGAATCTGGAGCTGGTAAGGTCGTGAAATCATTATTAGATGCGTCACCAGCGTACTACTTCGCAGTAAGTGGATACTCTTATCTTTACACCGTTCCATTATCAAAGTTGTTCGAAGAACTCGAAAAAACAAAGAAACATAGAATAACCGATCAATCTGATTGCCTTTTGCGTTGTTCCCAGTCACGTCTTGAACAGTCACTGTTCCGTGAGCATTTTGGTCCTGATGGGGGACCAAGTGTTTGTCTCAGGGTGCTCAAGATGTTGCGTGACATGACACGTCCTCTTCACCGGGCTGGTTGCAATGGCAATATGGAGTTCAATTGCAAAAATGGAATGGATGAAACTGCTTGGGAATTCATCACAGCTGAATCAGTTTCTGGTAACTGTCAACGTGTCCAACAAAGTAACTTTGGGGATGATGAATATGAACCGAACAGTACCAGATGGATTTCTTCATATGCACTTAAAACCCTAGTTTTGTTTGAATGGAGTGAAAACCCAGAGGACGAGCAGTGGACTGGGAGCAACCTCAGTCAGCGTCTTGTGAACGTAGCTACGTTGCTTCTTCACGTTCTCAAGGGAAATAGGGGGTTGAGAAGCTTTTGGTATAAAGACTATAATGTTCTACCAGATAATGTGCAAGGATATGTCCCGTCAGAAGCCATCAACAGGGTCACCATCATTCTCAGATTTCTGTTATCCTTAGAGAATAAAACTAATGAGTATTCTTTTGAACACTGTATTCACAATCTCACGACTTTGATGGTGTTGGCCTCTCAAAAACTAAATGTGACCAGTTTCTTGCAGTATGCCCTCCAAAACGTTTTTCATGATAAGATAGAGAAGGTTTTGCGAGAAGCAGTAGGTGAGAGAAAGAAACGGACTTTCAGTAACAGACCTCCCAAGATGTTTAGAGATGATTATAACTTTGATTTCTTTTTTGAGGATAATGTGTTTATTGGCTTCTACATCCAAGCTCTTCTTTGTAAAATAGCTCCAGAAGAGGAGTTAATTCTTTCAGATCATTCAGGGTATAAAAATTTCCAAGATCCACTCATAATTGTGTCGGAAACTGAATGTCTTACCGATGAAGAAGCTAAAGGGACTGTAAAGAAAGCAAGAGAACTTTTTCAGGAAATTGCTCGTGAAAGAATGAACACACTTGACAATTTACCAGACTACAATCTTTGGTCAGGGGACTTAAAACCTGACGAGATTGCCAACCTGTTAAAGTTGCTGTGCGAGAACTTTAAAAAAGATCTCGAAATCCTATGGAATAAAATTTGCAATCTCAAAGAAAAAGCAAAGACGACTAGAAATGTAGCGGAAACGTGAAATTCTAGGCTTACTTCCTTGGGTCCTGTCTATCTAGAAATTAGACTGAGAGTTTCACCTGCAATCTGAGGCCGCGTTTATAGTACATTCTAACCCCATTAAGATTAACACCAACACTGATAGGACCGCGGACCGCGAATCTTTATTTTAACGTGTTGTCCTTGAAACCACGCGACTCGGTGAACATTTTTGTGTCATTTCAAGTCAAGAAGAGTATAGAAAATGGAACATTGTCCTCTATTTGTGGTAAACGTTTTAATTGAATAAATTCATTCTTACAAATTAGATTATTCACCTTGATTCATGTACACTGTTAATGTAAACTCTTCTTTTTCTATAGGAATATATTTTAGAAAATTATCGAGGCTGCTGGGGCTGACAGTTTGAAAAAGACTCAATTTTGTGTTCGAAAATCTTTAAAACAGTTAACGTTACAATTTATGGTTTTAACTTAACCGTAGGACCGTGACCGTATTATTCCTTTCACTAAACGGCAAGAACACTGGTAATTAAAACCCCAATAGATTCTAAACCGGAATTGTCATAAGTTATAATTTATAATTAAGAAAACAGTTGAACCTCAGTCTACAACGGCCACCATGGAGTGACCATTGTAGAGAGGAGGCCGTTGCAGAGAGGTTGAAACAAGAGCCGGTGAATTGTATGGACTGTCCGCCAAAAAATAGCCGTAGTGGAGAGGTGGCCGTTGGTGGAGGTTTGACTGTAATTCAAGAATATTTTTAGTCTAAACAGGGGGGGATCAAGGGGGGGGGGGCAGGGGGTGCGCACCCCCCCCCCCCCGAGATGACCTGCGGTTTTCTAATACAACTGGTATTCTGCGGGAAAAAAAAACTATGTGGTCTATTGGTGTTGAAGTAGAGCAATAGACGAGTGCACCCCCTCCTTAAAAGAATCCTGGATCCGCCCCTGCTAAAATCGGCAGAAAAATAGGAATACATCAGCCTGGGCCCGAAAAACAATATTCTTATATAAACAACAACAACAGTAAGCTTTCTTTGCATGACTACAACAAAGGACAGCATCGCAAAAGCTACTTGAATTTAATTATTGATTCCTTTTTAAATTAATTATTTTAAACAACTTTAAATATAATAATCATTTCTTATTTTCAATCATTAGTAGCATTAATTATTCTGGAGACAAGTTTGTCTCTCAATTCAAAGCAAGTTGATATAAAATGAAATGAATTGGATGTTAATAAAATAGTCAGTAGAATTCATTAGATGTGATAATAAGCTCTCATGTGATTGTAGTCGTAGAAACGGTATTTTAGGTTCTAGTTTAGAGGAGAACATCTTTCTTATCGACGAAAAACTTGACCGTGAATCTTATAAAAAGTGAGTTTCATCTTCAATTTTGTTGCAATTGGAGAGACTGCATAACCTTTCCTCACGTGGTATATTGTCGTATCTACCTGTGTCAATCCTAAGAAAGAGTGTAACTGTGTGTGCCTCAGGCGGCCCTATGGACGAGGTTGCTTTTGTTTGCTTAATTTCTAAGACACAATAAAAAAAATTAACCAGTAGAACGCTTTTATCAAACAACTGAAAAAAACTCCCTCTCTCAAGCACTGAGTGCTTTTCGAATACCGTTACTTTGTTGCTGTTGTTGGAAAATGTTAGGCATTGCAGAGACTTGAAACACCTTTAGAACAAACCCGGGAGGCACTTTCAAATTTGGTGTCCATACTAATAGAGGCGAGTTACTGGCAGGTCCTGAAACTGCATCCGCTGGTAATTATATGCGAATTGTCCTGGGGTCTTATTAACTGAAAAGAAACAACACGCCCTAACCAAGGTTTTCAAAAAGAGTAGCCCTGACACTAAAGTTTCCTCTAAGCCATGGTTTCTTCAGTTACAACAAATTAAATCTCCTTGCGTAAGTCGAAACTAATTTCAGCTCAGCATTCGACTTGGTTCCAAGGACAAAAGCGAAGTCTATTTGTATTAGCCACCTTTTAAAATATTCTTCTTGTTCTCCCTGTTCCCCTTCTTCCCCTGTTCCCCTTGATCTCCCTGTTCACCTTTTTCCCCTGTTCTCCCTGTTCCCCACTGTTCAGGAGCCTATTGATGGGCTCCTGCCCTGTTCCTCCTTGTTCCCCTGTTCCCCAGTTCCCCCAATTCCACTTGTTCCACTGTTCCCGCTGTTTCCCCTGCTCCTACTGTTCCCCTTGTTCCCCTGTTTTCCCTGTTCTTCCTATTCAGGAGACTATTGATGGGCTCATGCCCCGTTCCCCTTTTTCCCCTGTTGCTCCTGTTTCCCTGTTCCCCTGTCCCCCTGTTCTCCCGGTTCCCTCTGTTCAGGAGCCTATTAATGGCTCCTGCCCTGTTCCCCTTGTTCTCCTTTTCCCCCCTGTTCCCCTTATTCCCCTGTTCCCTCTGTTCCCCTGTTCGTCTTGTTCCCCTGTTCCCCTGTTCCCCTGTTTCCCTGTTCCCCTATCCCCCCTGTTCTCCCTGTTCCACCTGTTCAAGAGCCTATTGATGGGCTCCTACCCTGTTTCCCTTTTTCCCCTGTTCCTCCATTTCCCTGTTCCTTTTGTTCCCCCGGTTCCCCTTGTTCCCCTGTTTCCCTGTTCCCCTTGTTTCCCTGTTCCCCTGTTCTCCCTTGTTCCCATGTTCCCTTGTTTCCCTGTTCCCCCTTCTTTCCCTGTTTCCCCTTTTTCCCTTCTTCCCCTTTTCCCCCTGTTCCCCCTTGTTTCCTCTGTCTCCCCTCTTCCCCTGTTCCCCTCTTCCTCTGTTCCCCCTGTCCCCTTGTTCCCCCTGTTCCCCTGTCCCCCCTGTTCTCCCTGTTCCACCTGTTCAGGAGCCTATTGATGGGCTCCTACCCTGTTCCCCATTTCCTTCCTGTCCCCCCTGTTCTCCCTGTTCCACCTGTTCAGGAGCCTATTGATGGGCTCCTACCCTGTTCCCCATTTCCTTCCTGTTCCCCCTGTTCTCCCTATTCCACCTGTTCAGGAGCCTATTGATGGGCTCCTACCCTGTTCCCCATTTCCTTCCTGTCCCCCCTGTTCTCCCTGTTCCACCTGTTCAGGAGCCTATTGATGGGCTCCTACCCTGTTCCCCATTTCCTTCCTGTTCCCCCTGTTCCCCTTTTATTGAGAGAGCTTTGAAACTGTTCAACTTTGGAGCGTCTTTAGTGACGTGGTTTAAATTATTTTACTCTAATATAAGCAGTTGTATCCAAAACAATGGTTGGTCTTCTGAGGTCTTTTCTTCGAGTCGCGGAGTGAGACAGGGATGCCCGCTCTCCACCCATCTCTTTATTCTACGCGCGAAGGTCTTGGCCAACGCCGTTAGGAAGGATGAAAATATTCGCGGTATTAATATAGCCAACGTTGAGTGCAAATTTTCACAATACGCTGATGATACTACAATGATTCTAGACGGCTCTGAGCTCTCTCTTTCAAGAACCCTTCTTTTACTCGATAATTTCGCAATCTCATCTGGATTGAAAATCAGCTATGAAAAACCCGAATCCGGCTCTGGATAGGTTCATGCAAACATAGAAATTTTTCCATTCCGTCGAATGAACCGATTACTTGGGCGAGGGGCAAAGTCTACGCTCTCCCGGCAGCGATCTTTTTTCGACTTTTGAAATAAACGAAAGGAACATTAATTTTCGTGAGAAAATTGAAAAAATGAAAAAAATCATGAGCAGTTTCTGTTGATTCTTGCGTACCTGTGGAAACTTTGGCTTCCTCTCGCAAGTTAATCCGAACATCCGAGAGATACGTTCGAGCTCCCTTTTATCCGGCTCCCGCCAAGGTTTTCTTCAAACTACTACAGAAAATGCGACAAGCAAAGCTACAGGTGAAGATGGTCTTGGTTTTCAGCTGCTTAAAATCGCCGCATCAGGTATTGCCGAACCGATTTCTCGGCTTATCAATCGTTCTATTTCCACTAGAAATTTTTCATCCAGTAAGTGGAAAATAGCGAAAGTTACGCCAGTTTTCAAGAACCAAGGCTCAAAAAATGATAAACAAAATTATCGTCCAATATCGTTCTTTCCGATTCTATCCAAGATCTTTGAGAGGCATATGTAAAACTCACTTTACATGCACCTTTACGAGAATAACCTGCTACATGGATTATAGTCTGGTTTCGGAAAAAAACAAAAAACATTCAACCGAAACAGTGTTAATTCGATTATGAGACCAATTGCTTTTTTATATTGACAGCAATAATGTGTCTGGTCTTGTGTTGATTATAGTAACGCCTTTGATTTGATTAATCACGAACTTCTCATAACTAAAGTGCGGGAAAACAATATCGATATAGGCCTTTTAAACAAGATGCGTACCCACCTACCGATAGACCTCTTTAGCTTGTATGTTTTGTTTTCCCAAAACAGGTTATGTGATAATACCCTAGAGAACTGTTTCTTTCAAATTCCATTTTATTACGTGCATATGTACGCATAAGGGACGGACCATTAGAAAACTTATGGGGCGGGGGCGGGCAAAGTACAAAAAAAATATTTGCGCAAGGGGAAAATTTAATGGAAAAAAATTCTTGCACGCCAATTAATCCTAAAAAATATTCATGCTGTGGCCTAAAAAAGATTCATACAAGGAACTTGATAACGAAAAAAATTCCTGCGGCTCGCAAATTCCTCTCCCCCACCCCCCCTAACTTTTCTAATGGTCCGTCCCTAAGTTTAAGAAAAAACAAACAGTCAAGTTCCCCTGGGACCTCTATTGGGTAAACAAAATATACAAGCTAAAGAGGTCTATTAAAGAAAGAGAATAGGTTATACAGTTCCCTAATTAAACCGACAATGGGACCATGGTGTGGACTTCTTTCTCTAACAATGATCTCTGAGAATTTTACGACCACAGAAAAGATCTGCGCACTAATTCTTGATGTAGATTCAAGATCGAGGACAATAGACAGTGAATAGAAAATTTTAAGAAGGTTAAGTGGTTACCGTTCTATGATGACGTTAAGATAAATAAGTGTGTTCTACTTTATAAAGTATGACAAGGCGAATCATCCATGTATATCAATGATATCTTAATTACGAACAGATCAGTACACGGTAGGGAGACGAGACATGGCCAATATATCTTCGTATGCTTTAAGTTTCGACACATCACGGAAGCGTGAAGGTCTTTCAGAGAAACTTGTGGAACAGTCTGCCTGATGATATTAAAAGGAAAAACAGTCTTTCATCTTTTAAGCTGTGCTTTGATAACTTATTTTAGAGATTCTTAAATTGCTATTGATAATTTTGAAGCCTTATTGTAAATATTTATTTTTGTATTGTTAGGTTAGTAAATTTAGTGGAAGGCCACTGGCTTATCAGCTTCTGCTGTTATGTCTTTACCCTCATTTTTAAATAGAGTTGATTGTTGATTGATTGATTGATTGATTGATTGATGAAAGCAAGAGAACTTTATCGGGAAATTGCACGTGAAAGAATGAACACACTTGGCACTGATTTACCAGACTACAGCCTCTGGTCACAGGATTTTAAACCTGATGAGATGGCCAACCTGTTGAAGTTGCTGTGTGAGAACTTTGAAAAAGATCTTGATATCTGGTGGAATAAAATCTGCAGTCTGAAAAAAGAAGTAAGGACACCTGGAAATGAAGCGGAAACGTGAGATTCTGGCCTTAACTCCTTGGGTCCTGTCCATCTAGACATTAAACAGGACTCATCTTCAATCTGAGGCTGCCAGACTCCAACCCCCATTAATGCGTCAACGGGGTGTCTTTGAAACCAGCCCCTGTGAACATTTTTACAACATTTCTTCGATCTCAAAGAGTATAGACAACAGAACATTATTGTATATTTGTGTCTTTATTTATTATTCTCGGACAGACAGACGCACACCTTGAACATGAACAATGTTTCAACCTCATTCCCAGAAAGCCCTGGGGACGAGCTTTTGTTCTGGGGGGAGTGGCAGGGGATTTTTCTGTTCTTACTTTCTAAGACAGTGGCAATGCTAATAAAATTGGTGTAATTATTCAGCAAGACATGCAACCGCACCTTTTTTGTAACCTGTTTAATTTCCCACTGAGCATCAAAGAGATGGACTCCTCTCGCGAGAGATCTTCCTTTTCTTGTGCATTGAGTGCTTTCTGAATACGGTTATTTTACAGCTTTTGCTGTTCATTACGATAAGATACGCAATCATTTGCTTGAAGAGGCGACCAATAGTGCGAAGATACATTCATTAGCGCGAAAATACGAACATTTCCGCATAAATTAGATTTAATTACGATTTTTGCATCTCAATCAACATTCAATAACACTTTTGGGCATTCATATGCGTCATTCGGCATTCAAAAGAGAAAAATATACTTTCATTAACGCCAACATCAAAGTCATTAACACCATATTGACATACATTAAAGTGCAAACACTCATTCATTAACATTTTTATGACACTGTTTGCAATTCAATAGCATTCCTGGACAACCTTCGGATGGATAAGCCAGACAAACATTAATGAGCTTGAATCGATTTTCAATCAAACAAATTTTGGGCAACTCAGATTTATTGGGCAGCAAGAGAAAATTTGAGCAAAGCCAGATTTTAAAGACGTTCCATGTTTTTTTAATTATTATTTTGAAGAGATAAATATTTTCTATTTTAACCTGAAGTCGGCGTAGTAATCCACTTACATTCACACGAGACAGTGGCCGCCTACCTCGTGATCAGTTTCTGGTTCTGAAGGAAAGGGTATCATATGCCGATTTTTTTATTGTTGGGCACTGTACTGCAATGGGCTCTATTTCCAGTCGTGAATTGATTACAATAAACTTCCGCCTAATTTTCTAGAATCATCTCCCCCGTGTAGAACAGTGTATGGCAGATATCATCAGCAATGGGGTCTGACAGTGAAGAAGGGGCTGACTAATTCATATAATTCTCAGTTTGAATTACGAGAAGAATCTTAATTTTTTTAAAAAAATCTATCAAATTTGTTAAAGTAGACCGAAATGTTTACAAAACCGCTAACAAGAGCGCCATGATACATGCTAATCAAATCCTTCTTTTTAGCAATTGGCCAGAGCTATCTCTATGATCTTTCGCGCATGTACACATCCTCGGAGACCCAGGGGCAGATAGTGGGGACGACGGAAAGTCTAAACGGCCGGGAAAATACGGCACGAAGAAAACAAAAGAACGGCGAGAAGAGCCCCTGGGGACAATGTCTTACCAGACCAGTTCCAAGCTGTCGCGGTCGTTCTGGCTTCTGATTGGTGCCAGAAAACTTTTGTGTTTTTCTGCCCAATCAGCAGGCAGAACGGCGGCGACCGTTTGGAACTGGTCTGGTAAAACATTGTTCCCAGGGGCTCTTCTCGCCGTTCTTTAGTTTTCTTCGTGCCATATTTTCCCGCCCGTTTAGACTTTCTCTCGCCCCCACTATCTACCCCTGGGTCTCCGAGGATAACATGTACACGTTTTTAAAAAGATTGAAACTACTGTGAGGTGAAATTGCATGTCAAAAGGGCTTCGTTTTTTTACAGATAACGGCCAAACATCAAGATTTTCCTTTTTTACCGTACTTCTAACCAGGAAAACTTAATCCCGAGATATCTCGATAACGCTCTTACAGATTCCGTTTTAACTTCACAAACATTGAGGCGACTATTGGAGGAAAAAGTTCCCGTGAACGATTTTGGAAGAACAGTTCTCTGTGCGAAACTGCTGCAAGCATAATAGGTAATGGCGTCATTTCGTTGCTATGACAACTCCGATGTCATTGCAACCCTGATCATAACAAATTTTCATCTTTATCTAATACAACTGTGGAGGCAATTTTTCCAAATGTTTGTTTATGGCGACGTAGTTTATGCTCAAACTTGGCAGTTATTGACCCTGAAAAACTGTATCGAGCCACTTCATATGCCAGTACGACCTATGTTGTTGCATCGTATGGCCCTCGTTTTTGTTCGACTGTTTTGTAAAAATTTGGGCAAATTGCAAGAATTTTTTGGGCAAATGGTTTACCGCCCCCCTGCAAAAAATTGCCCGTACGCCTACGTAGTCATGAAAAACCAATAAGAAAATATAAACCCCCGAGAGGCAGTTTCACATTTGGTCTACTTTTAAGGGCGAGTTCCCGGCAGTTCCTGAAAAGTGGAGCCCCCGGCACTCACAATTCTATGCTATGCGAGTTGTACTAATTTCAAGAAGAGGTTATTGTCTATGACAGGGTTACTTAATAGGGTCAGTTAATATTAGGTTTCTTTTTAAAGGTTTAGGATCTCAAGTCCTCGATAGTATCCCTATGAGGTATAAGTACTCCCTCAGTTCTCAGTTAAGCCAACACCCCAAATCAAACCTCCTTGTCTGAGCCGAAAACTATTTCAGACGTTAACTCTTGCAATGGCAGTGCAGAAAGGAGAAAAGAAACAAGAGCGAGGACGAAGCAAGGATGAATCATTAACAAATATTCATTTCTCAATCTTTCTTTATTTGACCCAAAATCTCTTTACAATCGGTTATGATCAAGGTAATTATAATTCGTCAAATAGAATTAAGCTCCCATTTTACTTTATTATGGGGCTCAAATGAAAAAGTAAGCTAAACAGGTTTTCTCAGCTGTATTTGAAAATGTAACTGGTGATTAAAAAGATCGTCGATGTTTTGTTGAATTCAGGAAACGAAACTGGCCCTGAGCTGTGAGAAACATATAAACTATGCCTGTAGAAAAGGAAAACAATCACTATAAAAGGTCAATAATGTTCACAGGTATTTTCAGAATCAGTTGAATTCTTGCTTAAATTCTTGCTCAAAACCCCGGGGGGAGAACTCCGCATATGAAAGGGGTGGGGATGCTTGTCGGAAATTTTGAATTAAACCCCTAAAGGAGACCAATCTGAGCATGGCCCAAGCCTTTTTTGACCCCTAAAAGAGACCATGTCAAGACAGAGACAATATATACATTTTTATATCTTTTTCCCGTGCAACCCTAAACGAGACCTTCACAGCTAAATATGATGGAGTTTTGTCCAGAACACCCTAAGTGAGACCAAAATCCGAAATTTACACCCCTAAGCGAGACGACGAGCATCCCCACCCCTGTCATATGCGGGGTCCCCCCGGCTCAAAACGAGGCGTCAACTAACTAAAAAAAGGTCCCTACTGGATTTGATATTTGAGTCATTTCATTTTTTAGGAAAATATTTACCAAAATCACGAAACTGAATGAAGCCATGACATCAATTCCACAACAAAGCTTCTTGCCACACTATTGTTAGATAGTTTATGTTTTAGTGGGCTTTGATCCGATCTTCAAACGATTGTTACATATTTTAGCGAGCCTTGATCTTCACATATATTTTCCCCTTGGGAGCCATAATTAACACAGCTCTGTGCTCTAAGACAGGCACTGTTTCCGGGGCTCGTTCGAACTTGAATCGCTGCATGATCTTGAATAACCCTTGCTTAATCTCCAGCAGGGCAAGACGCATTCCTATACACTGACGGGGACCTGTTCCAAACGGAAGATAGGAGTATGGGTCTCGCTTCTGCTTTGCCTCGGGGGAGAAATTGTCAGGGTTAAACTCCTGGGGCTTGTCCCAAACTTCCGGGTCATGGTGAAGAACGTACGTGGGGATATTGACACCAACACCCTTGGGAAATCTCACTCCCTTGATGACTGTGTCTTCTGCGCACTCTCGTAAAAGTAGGAATGCAGGGCCACTGAGGCGAAGGGCCTCAGATATGACTTGATCCACGTACACTGCTCCTTGGACGATGTCATAAAGGGGCTTGTCACCACTTGATGCCAGTACTTCATCGATTTCCCGGATGAGGCGATCTTGAATATCCGGGTGCGTGGCCAGATAATATGCAATGCTGGTTAAGGTGTTACCTTTAAGAAAGAACATTACCATTAGCTAAGATGCATAAATAAGGATGATATAATTGAATATAAATTTTACGCTCGGTGAATAATAATGTTCCCACCGGGTTTGCGATGAACTGCGAGTAGGGCAATTTTTCCTGCTAACAGATCCCGCTCAAAAATCAAAATCACCTTTCACTATCTATTAGAATAACAACTCAGGATGCACTCGATGTTGCTGAACCTTGCCGCATGCAGCTATAAGGATGTCATGACTTTTTTCATCAGATCAGTTCCCCGATCCCTCGTTGCTCATGGATAAGACAGGAGTCAGGAGCTGTAATTTGGGATGCCATTGGTAATAATCAGAGACCCTCGTCTTGAAGTAATTTTAACCATTGAAATCGAAACATATTCATCTTACATAGAAATTAAAACTTGGACCCACGATCCAATGAAATATTCATAAACATGACGTTGATGAGTAGTGAGTAGTAAACCCGCGATACGATCATATGAGAAGGTCAGCAGATGCTCCATTTGACAGCTGTCGACGACTTTGATACAGATGGCATACATCAATGCAAACCATCAAAGAACGATGGCATCCCATATATTTTCATTTCGACTCAATATATATTTTGCGCGCGGAGCTCCACTGAAACAATTTTAAAAATGATCTTCTCATTAGCGAACGTGAACAATAATAATGCCATTAACTTCGGTTTAGTTTGGCTAAATTTGTGCTTTGTTATAGGGGCGCGAGACTTCCTTTTTCGGTACTCAGGGATTCTTTACTATTCAGTGTACCATATTACCTGTAGTTTCGTAGCCTGCCACAAGAAACGCCACTGACTGGGCCGTAACCTCGTCATCACTGAGTCTACTAACTCCATCGATGTTCTCCTCGTGTGCCTCCAGCATAAGCTGCACCAGGTCCCTATTTCCACTGAAACCCTGCAGTCGTCTTCTGTCAAGGACCTCTTTCTGTACTGCTGAAAAATAATCAACGTTCTGCAGAGGGCTGACGAATCGGCTGAAGTACTCCCAAAATGGAAACATGGAAAAGAATCGAACCCAGAGCGGTGTTTGGAAGACGGATCTGGCTTTCTCCACGAAAACTGGATCTGGCTTTACTTGAATGTTGCTCTCTACTCCGAAGGCTGCTTTCATGATGACGTCCAACGCAAACAAGCTGAACAACTGAACAACTTCCACGCTTTCACCTAAATAAGCAGCATAATATTGGTAGTACCTATAACTCCCGCTAACTTGAATCCTAAGTAACTCGAAGCACTGGACGTTTGAAACTACTAACTTAATTGAAGAGGCTTATCTCTAACTTGAGAAAAATGAGCTCTGGGTGCATTTTTGGACCCGAAGCCTTTAAATGAGTGTGAAGGTTGGGAATAGACGCCCCCGGGGGGTGAACTCGACCAATATTTGGGTATAGGTGAGCCGCTGAGGGTTTGAAACCCTGACCCTGTTTAGGACACAAAAAGTCCTAAAATACATACCCTTGAATATATAGTCATTTTCATTAACGTTCACTTAAGATCACTTTTGAAAATGTATGTTGAATAGCATACGAATCGTCAAGTTTATAAAAATGCGAAAAGTCAGAATGTTTATCATCGCTGTTTGTGTTTTATTCTTGATCAAACTACGATGGCCCAAGAACAAAAGTCTGTATGATACATATCCTTCTTAGGACAACACCCTCAATTTCATTACCCTGTTTATTTGGAAATACCCTGTTTTATTGCGGAAATTGCAACAGAGTAAATTATCACGTTATTGTCACTTCGTATACAAAATTCAATCAAGGAAATCAAATCAATCGTGTAGGATATACCCTTTAAGTTTAACAGACTCACACGAAATTATTTTTCCTGTTTAGGACAGACTCACTCGAAATTATATACGCCGTTTCTCGGCAAAGAGATGTCAAAAACCATACCCTATTCCAACCTCGTTCCCAGGGTTCTCTCCCACCCGTTTCTACGGAGCGAGAGAGAGCCTGGGAACGAGGTGACCCCATCCAGCGACACATCCCCGTATAGGCCAAAAAAGGGAGTACCCCCCCCCCCCCCCGGACGAACGGTCTACATACGGTGGTGCGAACAAAGTTTTTGTTCATAAAACAATTCTTATTCCATGATGTTAGTTAAAATAATTACTTACTTCTGTACGGTGAAGCGAAATGAACCAGGGTCATGAGGTCTGAGGTAAAAGGACGATTTTTGTCTTAAACAGGGTCGGGTTTTAAGCCTCCGCGCCACTCCTTCCCTTGAGTGTTCCCCCATGGGAGGCCGGTAAGGAAATAGCCTGGCATCGACGCGCTTTTTCATGCCAACGATATGTCCCAACGCATACTAATACCGATGCGTTGTACGGGGGCTTTCTAAAGTTCAGGACACTTGTGGAGTTAGGAATCCTTTTCAGACGATCACCAAACTTTTGAGGACGGAGGACGAAGCTTTACAATGCATTGATCATTTGTTCTGTCCCACAACAGAGAATCATGATATTTGGGATTCGGCTAGCTACATGCGTGACTAATTCTGCAAGGATCAGGAGGATCAAGGATCATCATACCACATTTTGTTAGAGTAGAAGGTGTATTTTGGTGACCTTTAGTCTCAATTTACGCGACCCCGTGAATACGGACACGACACCCACTTAACGAGGACAGCTAATGCCTGTGGTCCCCGTCCCCTCAATATCCGCATTACTAGGCTCGACTGTATGGTGTATGATGGAACAACCTTCGATCAATATATATATTAGCGTTGTGTAGAGCCAGAGCTTACAGCCAGCGTGTTTATTTGTCATGCTTACCAACGCTGCGCAGCCACGCTGATAGTTTTATTTATCCTTACCTGTTTCAGAGAACTTTTGCATTTTCGTTACTAGAGTATTGGAAGCTTCTTCGATGATCGGAACAATCTGCTTTAATTTGGATGCGGTGAACGTTGGAGTGAGCGTGTTCCTGACGCGTCTCCACTTATCGTCGCGGGCGATGAACAGGGCAGAATCGAGGGGCGGTGACGGTCGAACGAAAGGAGGACGATTTGGGAATTTCCAGAACTCTTTTACCGTGATTTGCTTTATCATCTCGGGATCGGTGACCACAATGGCGGGTTGCCTACCGATGCATATCGTGTGGACGCGGCCGTACTTGTAGAAATAATTTAGCAGCATCTTGTGCATGCCGCCATATCTTAAAAAATCAGGAAGGTTACCCACCCAAGGCCATGGTCTGGGACCCGGTAGAGGAGAGCTACCTAGAATCGAGTAGTAAGAACGCACGCCTTGCCAGTACAGAAACGCCAATATTCCAAGTATAACAGCCACCCAGGTCGAGAAGCTGATGTCCTGTAAGATTTGTAGTGGGTTCTCCATGTTTGCGTGTCCCTTGCGTGAGCTGAACTCTTGTTGTTTACTCTTACTCTCCTTGATATCCCAATGAAAATCGGTGACGTGGACTCGGAGACGTGGATAAGTACACGTCAGTCAATTTTTTTTCGGTTACGCAAAAGAGCAAGCATACTCCATTCGCCACTTTCGAATTGCCCATAATACACGTTGTTTGCCCCCTCAAGTTTATGCATAGGCATTGTTTCTAATAATTTCCGCGGAGACTTACATTTACAACCGTCCAAAGGGAAAAATCCCAAGAGTAAACCGAAAACAATGCTATTGTAATATCTATTAAAACCGTGAAGTCATTATAGGCAATTAGTATAAATACATTGATGATTATCGAAAATAGAGCGCTATGATTGGCTAGGAGCTTCGCTTTATCCGGCTATAATCACCGCGCGGTGATTATAACATTGAAAGCTAGCAGTTTTCAAAGTGGCAGCCAGATTTTTGGATGTTTCGGAGTCGGGAATTGATCAATAATTTTATTTTCTCGAATAATCAATGTAATTATTATACTAAAACAATTAGAATCCGAAATTAGAAAAAAAGAGATTATTTTAATAGTAGCTCCGGACCAGTATTTCAGATCATATTTCTAGTAACTTTTTAATATAAAAAGTTACTGATTCAGAATTGAAATTTTTGCCCTTGCCAACAAAGGAATAAAAGTACTTCATCGAGCCGCCAGCCTGATGGTTTAATAATAATGTATTTTTCATGTTTGCGTGAGCTGAGCTGTTTCGCGTTTTTCTACAGGCAACCCCTCCGTTTCTCACTTGACGCCCTGAGCCTTAACAACAACAAATTGATTGAAACACCCCGTTACCGGTGTTGCGCAAAGTATATACCTCAGCTTGAATCGTTCTTTTGGCTTATAGAAATAGGAGAGGTTGTAGCGTGTGTTTGCCTACAGGTTACAAGTTTTTCTCTTCTTACTTGAACATTATTATTATTTACTGTACGTAACAGGAAAGAGAAATTTTTTAAAAAATTTTACCAGGGTAACGTGCTCGTTTACTGAGTGAGTTGTCAACTGAGAGTCCAGCTTGGCTAGCCTTTTTCTACACATGGCCGTGGGAGCGTTTTCCTCTTCTTTCATACTGTACTTCAGGTTGCTTGCACCCAGGTCCCGCCCTGAATGAAGACCTTGTACAGGGAATCGCAAGCGAACAGAATACTCTGAATGGCCTGGTGATTTTTTTTCTCAACGAAGAAAGGGTATGGACATCAGTATCATCACCAATTTATTTTTACATTAAACCCAGGGAATACGTACAAGATAGTTTACAATAAGGGCCTGTTTCGCCAGGAGCAACTAGCAGAGTAACCAGGAGCCAATTAAAGCTCATTAACTGTTATTCTTCAGTGGGTTATCTTTGTGAAAAGCTAGTAAGTGTCGTTTTGAGGAAAGCCTTCGAAATCTCACGAACATGCTGGTGTTGGCTCGACAGAAAAAAGAAATTCACAAGGCTGCTGCATAGTGCACTGTGTTTTAATTTTGATCATGAGTTAAAACAGGAAGAAGCGGTTGGCGAGAAAACGAAAGAGAGGCCAACTATCACTTGTGGCCACCCTTGTTAGGAGGCCAATCAGAATGCTACTGGTGGATTTTCATCTCAGTGGGTGGCCGACTGTGTTTCGCGACATTTACGTTCAAGTTGATGTATTATGTACTGAAAACGGTTTAGCGTCTCACCCGTCACCTAGACTTTCTGTGTCAGGCATTGAAAACGTTAGCTAAGAAGGAGCTACGGAAATTGTAAGGGAAGCAAGGAAACTCTTTGAGGAAGTTGCTCATATATAAGACGATCAGCAAACTGGAAAATGTCTTCACCAGAATGCTAAGCCTCTGGTCACAGCATTTACTCCTGATAATTTGACTAAGTTGCTAAAAATGCTGTCAGTGTAAGAACCTTAAAAAAGACAATAAATTCTTACGGATTAAAATTAATATCAAATTCATTGAAGAAGCAGCAAAAACTGGTAATGTTGTAGAGATCGAGAGAGAGAGAGAGAGAGAGGGAGGGAGGGAGATATGGAAAAAGACTTCGGGCAAGTTATTATCTTTGAACCACATAAAAAGGCCGTGAAGAAGCTGGAAGAAATGCCTTTCTTGGAAAGAGAAGGGCATTTTGAATCATTTGAAGTTAAAACACTACAGTGAACTGTTGTAAAATAGAGATATTTATTCTTCAAGAATATAACCCTTCGTAAGTGAGAGCTAATATTCATGTTTATATTTCACTGCACAGCTCAGTTGCACAAATAAAATTTCTTTATCATACATATTACAGGCAAATGCACCTTGATTTTGTACAGTGTAACCGTTCACATGATAAGGACGTTTTATATTGCTAAGATTAAAATTAAATGAAAATTAGTCTTAATCAGTATTAACTAGAGCTGTAATTTAACTCATTGTCAGTCCCTCTATTGAAATGCTATAATTTCTACTTAAAATATCACCATCAAGAGCATTTAGTGTATGGGTAAACACACTAAGTAATATTGGATCATTATACGTCTCTGGTAAACTGCCCTAATACCCCTCCCCTAAGCCAACATTTTACCCTGAGTGAGAAGTAGTGTTAATGTTGGCTTAGGGGAGGGGTAGGTGGACAGTTTTCCAGAAACGTAATATTCATGACTTCAGCACAAAATTGACCTAAAATAGCTATATCCCCATGAAATAGCCCATTTTTTTAAGCAGACCAGATGGCCATTGCCAAAAAAAAAACACAGTAATACAGGTTTGACTTGTATAACAGTACACTGGACTTAAGATAGCTTCTGACTAATATATTACTGGAAGAATGCAGTTAGAAAATCACAGAACATTGAGATACACCTATAATGGGGAATCACTATATGGAATTTTGAAAATTTTTTCCTGCACAACTTGAATAAACAGTGAACTCTCTCCTGATCTAACCTTTCACTTGTAGAAGTGGGCAAAATCAAAATTAGGCAAAAATTCCAAATGTTATCATTAAAATGCTGAAAAACATAAAAGAAACATTAATTTAAAAGTACCGGTACTGCCAAACAGGTTACATTTGAATGGTCATAGGCAAGACTTGTACACCATTAACTGAGATTCCAAAATTTACATATAGATTTCCCAATCAAAAGCACCCCTGGCCTAGAGTATGTCCCTACCAGGTGATACCAGCAGGTTTCATAGATAAAAGACAGCTGACTGTTTTGTTAAAACACACTCTATTGCCTACCAGCAAACACTCAGGACAGTCTTCAGATTAATTCCCACATCATGAGGGCACAAAATATTGCAAACACATTTTAAATTAATTGTCTGTGGAATAATAAATTAATATATTAAATTAATGGTGCAATAGTTTATCATCATCAACTTCAGAATTGAATGTAAACGACATTAAATTAAATGCGTAATGATTCCAGAGTCACACATGTAAAAAAGGTGGCAACCCAAAAATATTTTGGGAATGGGTTACGTTAAAAAGTGAAAAAAGTAACCTTCCTTTAGGCTATATAGTCTTAAATCCTGTATAAAAAAGTACTCCTTCAAACGTGTCTCCTTAATATTACAGTACAAGCCAAGCATAAAAATAATTTACTATAATGTCACAAAAGAAGGGAATAGGGATATCCAAGGTCGACTGTACAGTAATAAATATAATATTTTAATATTGTCACTATTATTTGCTTCAAACAAAAAAAGCCCTCCTGGTCTAAAAACAAATCGATACACTCACATGTACCATTATAAATGGTAAACAAAAATATCTCATAGAAAGTTGCCTGTAAAGACATGTGGTCGAAACAAAAATATTAAACTTGAAAATATGGGGTGCCCAAGTCTTGAATTGCCATGGATAATAACAACTAAAACTTACTAGCAATCTAGAAATTCATTAAAGTGTTACAACAAAAAAATGTAACAAGGCAATAAAGAAGTTTTTGTTTTCATTTTTGTAAAGTTTCAGATTCAGTATCTTAAGCAAAATGCCATACATATACTCTTGGGATATGTATTATTGACAAACTTTATTGGGTTCAATATTTCCTTGATCTTACGTTTATGATACTGAGGAGGGCCATCTTGCTCAAGTTAATAATACCCAAGGTTAGAAAATTTTGGCTAAATGCACTGTACATTGATGTAGTGTCCAACAGTAGTCCCTGTTTCATTGTTCAAACATTATAAGATTCAAAATTAATCTCCATTTAGTTCTCCTTACTCCCATCTTCTTACACCACAATAAACCACAGTCTTCTCCTTCATAATGTTAAACAAATAAATACACGTATCTCTCAAAAAACTACAGTGTTTCTCGTCCTGCTTGTTGAGATAGATGAGGCATGCAGTGGATTTGTAGGCAGAATTTTGATCGGTAGATCCCAAGTCATGGTTTCCACATCAACATCAGCTGGACCCTGCCATGTCGCAATGTCCGTATAACGACTTGTAAGTTGCACAGGACTAGCTCCAGCTGGTAGTGGTGTTGATGCCAGTACAAATTCAAAATGAAGTCTCCACCTTAAACATACTGCAAAAAATAAATAAACAAATAAATAATAATAACAGATATGTTACACATAAGGACATGACGTGAGGGTTTCACAATGTTGTGACAATCAGTGTCAATAATAGAGGTTTTAACAGTAGCTGGAGATTGGCAAATTTGCCAGTAATTACCTAATCAAAACCTCTTTCTTTGCATTAAGTTTTGGCAACCAGGAAATGCTTGTAGCCATGTTCTAGAAAAGTCTGAAACTATCGACCTTAACCTTAACAGACTTTTGATCATCATATTTTACTTGAGCAAACACAACAACTTTAACAGAAAATCTAGCTGTCTATTGTGGGGACATATTGATTTATGGTGTGCTCTCGTGCACGTGTCTGCCCATGCCTGGACCTACACTGAACACATATTTCCTCTTATTCAGAGAGCATTTTTGGATAGTCAGCATCTCTTTTTGTTGACTTCATTTGAAACCTTCAAATAGAATAGCCAAAGCTGTGCTGTGGCAGTGCCTGCTGGCCACTGGCACCTAATTTTTGCTCCCAGGCCACTAGAAAATTTAGTTTTTTCATGGAAATCATATGATGGGCACCCTGAATTTCACAGGTTCAGAGCACTGCCGGGCTCCCTTCAATTTCTCTTAGAGCATAGCTTTGATAGTACTATGTAGTGCAATTACGGAGTAATAATATTATTATTTATTTTCACATTGAAAGAATGTGGAAAGGCTAACATTCCAAGCGGTCTTACCTAAATCTGATACAAACTCTGGACATGCAGTAAAAGGTATTGGTAACACCAAATGAGTTTTCTTGGTATGCAAACAGCTTTCTTGAATACTAGTGAAAGATGAGTACGTCACGTCAGATGATTCCGGTCTAGAAGGATTGCGAGAGTCTTCAGGAATATGCTCCTCACTTTGAAGAACTACGGAAAACTAAACAAAGCATTTTGTCAGTAAACAATAGACAAAATTAAAACTTTAATTGTTGCAAAAAAGGCATGTGACTAATATTACAGGTGCACTGCACTGTACAGGTAATTTTGCTGTTAATAATTCTGCATTTATCCCCCAATTTGCCCATGAAAAAACTACTCTTGTGCATCTAAAAACTATTCCTTTTTGTGAAAAGAACAGTTCAGTAGCTCTCAAGGTGGGCTAATGAAATCCAAGATGAAGACATGTCAATTATGATCCAATTTTTGGGAAAACAATTTATAAGACTAGTATAACAACAATATTATAGTCTTAATTAAGTTTTCTATATATAATTTATCCCAGGTTTAACTGAATTCTAAAAAATGCATGTTAAGCTGATTTCATAATCATGAGCTGGGCCATGAACAAACATGTACCTTTAATCTGTATCAAGAGGCAAAAATGTGAGATCTCACTTTGCCCATTTAGGAGAAACAAATCTTGGAAACAAGTAGATAAGATAATAGATATAATCCACACTTCACAGTTAGCTTCTCTTTTTGACAGACACCATTAAGAACGGTACTACACCATATAGTGTCCATGCAAGAGGCCCTGTTAGGGTTAATTTCCAACAAGTGACACAGCCTTGAAACAGCAACATAAGCAGGGCTGTCATTAAGAGCTGGGGCCCGGGGATTTTTCCTGGCTACTACGAGTGTGGCCCCTGGCTGCTTTCATTGAAAAATAGAAGAAAAATAGAACTGAAAGAAATCCCTAGCTGTTTGATTCCCAGCCTGCTTGTTGTATTTACCCGGCAACTTGAAATCTTAGTGACAACCCTGCATAAGACTGGATGAAATGGCAACAAATGACATAAAGGTGGGTTACATACAGACAGCAACATGGCCTACTCCTCAAAAGGTGAAACGACTTTATTTGAAATTCAGACCAGGGACATGTACTCCAACCCCTATGAGGGCCTCATGCAAGACAGGCATCTGCCTCTTGGAAAAAAAGCCAAAGAAAATGACTAAAGCTGAGTAAAGGGCAATGACAGAATCTAGGTTTCTGTCTTAGGGAGGGGCCTGATGACTGCAAACCCACAAAAATCAAAATAATATATTACATACCTTTTGGCAAACAATAACAGAATCAGAAAAATCAAAAGATCCTACAATTTCTTCACCAATCCGGTATGCAGACTTGAAGAGACAAAATTTTCCTACTGTTCCTCCATCACTAACAATATTATATACATCTGCAAAAATTAACCACATTTCAGATAACATATTTTTAGTATCTAGTGAATGATAGAGGACATTTTCAGATAGTCAAACTATGTAATAAAGGTTTGATTGCCTTTTTTGTGTTGAATGGCATCTACTATACAGTCAGCATGAATAGTATTATTTTTGGCAGAGGTTACTTGTTAATCCTGACATCATGATTTCATGCGCACATTGCAAATTGCAAACTAACTGACACAATTTAGATTGAATTGTTTGCTTAATTATGATGATTAATATTTAAATGCAAACATGAGATTACTTTATGCTGGCTTAGGAATCTGCAGATGAAATCTTGTGGTATTACCATTAAAATGAAACCTTTTCAGCAGAACTTCTGCATAGGGCTGGGTAGTCACCTCTAAACAGTAGAAAAATCTGAAATTTGATTTTTTTTTTCTTTTTTTTTTGCAAATATTATTGTTTACTATTAGGAGTAAAAAGATTTACAAGAGGAGCCTGGAGGAAGCAGAGTAAAAATTTAAACTATAAGTGTAAAATTTCCCACTCTGCCCACAGAAATTTTTGGACTGGTAAAAGTTCACTTCTAAAAAGGCAATGCATACTTACGGGGATTTCTCCTAGAAGTAATTGTCGTTAAAATTTCCACTGCTAAATCTAACAAGGATGTCTTTGGAGAAGAATTTTCTAAAAATGGATTATGTGAATTTTCCTCTTTGTTTAAAAAATGTTCAAGCTCCCCCAGGCCTGAAAAAATGAAGATAAAAACAATATGACTTTAACAAAATCCTTTATTTCTTAGTACAATATAAAAGTCCGTCAGAAATATTACGCAAATCAAAGGCACATACAGCTGTTTCGAGAAAGGTTATCGGAAGAAATGTGCACGCGACAATCCTGAAACGTATAATATGGGATATCATCAACACACTGTTCGTAACGACTGAACCTGTCAAACCTACTTTTGTTGATTTCTTTTAGTACTCGCAAACATATGTGCGTGGCCTCCTATACCATTCTTCCAAATTTCTTTGAAGAACAGTGCCCTTAAAGCCACCCACAATACCTTTCGGGACTGTTGCATGCACTTTTTTGACAACCTTTCTCGAAATAGCTGTATACGATACAACCTATCCCATCAGACACCTTCGTAACACCTGAGTGACCCTAATTATTTAAATTTTCTTTTGCCCCAAGTACATTACCCTGCAATGGGTTCCGAATCCTCTCCAGGGACAATATGCAACACCCCTGGTAGCTTACTTCTACAAAAATCAGATCATTAGCTCCAGCTAAAGGTTGTTTTTTTCTGAATATATCTAATTACAGATATATTCAGAAAAAAACATTTGTAAACGATATACAAATGGGTTGTTTTTCCCTTCATCTTGATTTTAGAGTAATTCATATCATCCATTAAGCTGACATTTTCCACTGAATGCATACTTCACAGAAAGTGAATTGATAATCAATACTCTGAGATTTAGTATTTGGTACATGTAAACATGTCTATGTGTATGTACAGTAATAGCAAAGTGCGATTTGTACAAACCTTGTAACACCATTATTCTAAAAGGTAGTCTCAGCAAGACAGAATGTCCTTGAACCCTGCTTGTACCAACAGTGATCTTGTATGAATATTTAACGGCATGTCCTTTGTAAGATGGGGCTCCATCAAATGGGATAGTGTCACTATAAAAATCTAAAGTGTAATGTACAAGATGAGTATGAAATAATTTATACGCAACAGAGCTAATCAGTAAGAAAAAAAAGCTAGTGTGTAACCACAGCAAATATAAAAACATGATTGAAAACTTTTTAGTTTTAACAAGCTTAGGCAACAAGAATGCTCACATCCCAGAATCATGCATGGCATTAACAGAAGTTTGGTTTTTGCTTCAACTTGACAGAAATATGCTTCTGTCTCGCATAATAAGCTTGAAAACTTTTGCTTTTACTTCTGGAGCATAACGTTATAGAGAGAGTTATACCACTGAAGGAGAGAAACAATCAACTTCTGGTTGTCGGGTGTCATAGTGTACCATCACATTTGGCTTTAAACTCTAACATCAAAATTCAAATTCTCATTTGTTATCCCACCTATACGTTTTCAACAGAAGTAGTGGGGAGAAATTATTTGTCGAAGTATCAATTAGATTCATCTTGTGTGATCATGTCCTTAATTCTCATGATCACTCTGTTTTATAAAGCAGTGACACTACAAGGAGAAATTTGAGACTGATCACTATTAGTGCTTAAAGGGTCAGTAATTCACACTGAGCCCTCAGCATGTATGTGGTTACTGTAAAACCCATGTGCTCCTTGATTAACACAGTTCTTGAGTTGATCCGCCATCTCGTGTGCAGTTTTCCTATTTCTAGCTGTTTCTCTTAGAACATAGCAATGGGATATCAAGGTTCATCTATCTTAAGCCCACTTACTTCATCACACAGCCTTTAGCAAGGGTAATTAGACTAAAGGGGAAATGGGGAAAGAGACAGAGAGGGATTAGCTGATAATGCCAAGAAGAATGACCTCCAAAAGGTACATAGATAATAAAATCAATCAGTGATTGCAATTCATTGAGTCCCATCTATCCCACTGCTTGATTTTTGTAACTCCAATTTAAGTAGCTGAGATAAAACAATTGATAACAACCTTTGGTCTAAAATTGTTATTCAAACCAAAGCTTGCTTCTCGTACCAAATCAAACACAGTAATTGACCCCTCAGTTCATAACCCAGAACACTCACATTACAGCATTCAACTGTAGTGTACCGAAGGAATTTAATGCATTTCTTTCAATCTAATGTTAAAATTCAAAATTTCTGTGATGGATTTGATCACAATAAAATAAGCTAATTTTTCACACAGTGAGGAATGATTTTTCTGGAAAGCTGAGGTACTAAAAGTAAGCAATCAACAGAACCTGGTTCGAAACTCTCTTGATTTAGGGAGGTTTCACTCACTGAAAGGTGTAAGGCTAGACTTAAGACATCAAAAATCAAGATATCCACAACAACAAAAAAAAAAAACAGTCTAGAACAAAAAATTTTTCCTTAATTTTCATGTTCACTGTATACAAAAACTGTGCTTACACTTTCAATGACACAAAATAATAATATCAGCAGGCACTTCAATCAGACAACTGACAACTGGTATGAATGCAAACACAATACTGTTAATTAGGAAACTTTCATTATCCGGCTAAGAGCCAAATAAATTCAATTAAAAGAGTCGTTCATCAAAATTTTCACCATGTTGTTCCAAAGCATATGTTTTGGACACACTGTTTAATAGTAAAGATCCTGCCAAAAAAAACGAAAAACAGAAATATCTTTCACGATCAATACACTTCTTTGAGGCTTAATTAGTTTTGATAAAGGACGCGCGCATTACCGATGTTTACCATTATATCCCACATACATTTTTTAACAGTGAGTGTCTGTTATATTTTTAATAGTTCTATAGAAAGTAATGATATATGCTCAAAAAAAAGTTGAGCCAAAAATCCACACTTACAATTTTTAGATTCGCCAGGAGCAAGCTCCAAGTCACAGAAGAGTATCTTTGGCTGCGTAGACATCAAACATCGTCCTTCCTCACCTTCGAGAAATAACAAGAAATAACTCAAATCAATAATTCACCACCAGCCTGTCATGAACCGGATAGTAGATAGTATACCAACCAAATCGAGTAATAAATCACACCAACGCCGCAACTGTTTTCTAACCTCTCGAAGGAACGAAGCTTGTACAAGAAGAAGTCGAGTTTAAAGTGAATTGATCTGACATTCGATCAGTTCTCGAAGAAAGTTTCACGCGCGATTCGTTTACGGTACATTGACAGTGAATCTGCGCGCTAGCCCAAGCTAGTCTGTCCGTTCCGGAGTTCTCCTTCATCCATTCATTATTTAACGCGTGATTACCAGTCTCGCTGCAATTGCTTTCCTTAATGCTTGCAGTATTCGTGAAAATAATCTCACACTCTATACATTCCCCAGCAAAGAATACCGACCCACGAAGCAATCGAGCTTTCACCTCGATCATAGCTAAAACAGCCAACAACAGCTTGTTTTCTTGCATATATGTACTGCGTCCATGCCAAACGCTCACGTAAAACTACAAGAGATCTTTTTCAAGTGTTTATACATCCGGATTTCTGGAAGAATTCCCGAGGAAATACTCTCTCCTGTGCATCCGCCATTAATTCCACAAGTGAAACCGCAGAACGATTCAGCAGGAGGTTGCTGACCATGTTGTCTGCAGTCTTGTCTGAGTGACGTACTCTGTGTGATGGCGTGACTTCTGCTTGCTGATAACGTCTTCCATACCAATGATAGACATCAGGCCTGACATTTCTTCACTCTGTTATGTAGAGGTAAGCTCTTTATTATTCGTCGTCAGTAACTTCTTTTCAAATTCTAACCTGAGATCACGCTCTATTTCCACGTGAAAAGACAATGCACGAAAGCTGTTAAAATTGGGCATGATCTATTACAGTACACTGTAATGAGACTTGCTACAAGTCAACCTCATAAGTTTCTTTTCTTAGCGAGCGGGAAACAAATATCACTAGGGATATGTGTTTCCTGACTTTTTTAAAAGTCTACACTGTAATGTAAAAGTTTATTTAAATTCAGAATTGAAAGTGAAATGATTTTCGACTAACTGCATGATCGTCTCCCCACGCTCACGATATGATATGAAGGCCCCGAGATAGATTTAATTTATGTTCGAGCTGGTTTTAATGATTAACAGTCGAGAGAAAATGGTAAGCTACCATATACAATTTTACGGCCTCGCCAGGCCCATGTGACTCGCACGCAATTAAATTCCTATAAAAAGTTATCACCGTAGACAGCCTTGACAACTTTGGAAAGTCTTGAAAAATGTGTAATTATGTAATTATGATAATATTTTGTTCTAATTATCTAACTGAGGGAGCCCATTCCTTAAAAGCCCAGTGGCTTCTCTTGGGCTTCCTCGCCATGAGAGTTTAAATAATTAGGGTTTTTTTTGCTTTGTATAACTTATGGCAAACAAAACAATAAACAATAAACAAAAACCCTAAAACCTATAAAGGCCTCGAAAGATAGCCCCCCAAGATAAAGGGTTCGTTTTTGTGGTTAATTCGAAATATAGATTCGTGGTCATTCGCATCGTCAAAAAGTTTCGTAAAAGAGATTCTTATTGTTCAATACATGTCTCCCTTTTCGACTGGTTTAAATCCAGCGGCTTATAATTAGTCTCGCTTGTGTAAGCAGCGAGACTCATAATCTACAACCCGTTTTCCTTCGTATTTATGACACAAAAGGGGAGGTCATTGTGCCTGGCGTTCCTAGCAGAGATCGTGGAAACTGGGAATAAGAATCGTTGCGTGACCGAAGCCACGCATGTTTTGCGAAGAAAGCTAAAGCCCTGTGTAAACGGACGTAAATTAGCAAATTACTGCGATGGTCGGGTGTTGTAAACCTTCATTGTATACAAATGGGTCTTGTGATGAGCATGCGGTTTATTTTCGGCGATGATTGAAATGAAGTGCCATGTAAATCACTTTTTTCATCTCTGGCAATGATGCAATTTCTCTGGAATCGAGGCCCTTGAATTTTCGTGTATTTATACACGCGTATAGCCTGAGACTGCACACGTATTTCCGGGCGTCGCTAACACGCGTACTAAATCAATTCAGAAACAAATAAAAAGTAAATATCCTGAAGAATACCACGACATCGCTAAAGTATGAAGTAAATAGAAAACCCTTCGGCTGCGTGCAAACGGACGCAACATTGTTACGCCAACAATTTTGGGAGTTGTTGCAGGCGTGTTGGCAGTGGTGTGCAAACGGATGCAACAACTCCCAACAATGTTGGGACCTGCAGAGCATCGTGGGAAGGATACAACCCATCATAAGTCTTTGTAAACCATGCGTAATGAGCGTGCGTGGCCCCAACAATGTTGGAAGAGCGGTGCAAATGGATCCAACATTGTTGCGCTACGCTTCGGCGATCACGGAACAAAAGAAATGTTGGGAGTTGTTGGCTGAAAAGTTCGACCGGTTTCAAACTTTACGCAACAACATGCAACAGGGTGTGGAAACGGACGCAACATGTAACGTCCAACAATGTTGGGAGTTGTTGGTCAACAATCTTGCGCGGTAACGCCGCGGTAAGAGCGTTCTTGTTCTTCATAACCACCTAGCACTGACAGAAAAAATAATGTTTCAATCAGTTTGTTATCTATTCCATGCGAAATCCTGTCGTTTATCGGACCGAGAAAAAAGCTGTGTTTTGTTTGTATTTAAGTTGTTAAGTAGGACCTTAACCAGGCGCTTTTGGCTGCAGTTCACTCACCTTAAATTTTCTACACCGAAATGACACCGGTTTGAAACTTCACGGAGTCAGATTACTAAATAAATGTTCTAAAATTTGCGTCACTTTAAATTTGGACTCGTTGAAATGCTTCTAGGGACCACTAACTTACTGCCCGACGTGAGAAAAAGGCTTTTAATCGGCCTTAGAATGATCATTTATTGTTTGAAGTTGCCAAGTAGTAGAATAAGTTGATTTTTTTGCTAACCCGGTTTTCAAAAATCGAGGTATACCTGTACAGTAGTAACAATCAACAATAGTTATTAAATGAGACGGAATGTGATATGAAGAATTATGCAGATCGACGAGAAGAATAACACCCTCCGAGATCAGCACAATTCTTTTTTCATAACATACAGACGCTGAATCCAACAATCCAACCTCAGAACATGCGTACCTCCGTCCGTCTTCAAATCTGGGCCAGTTTCTTCTCCGGCTGGCAGTCTCAGGGTATTGTTCAAGACTCTATTCTAGCACGCATTCGGAGTTGTTGGCAAGGTCGTCGCTCGGTCGGCAGACCGGCATAGACCCTGTTTTCACACCAGAGAAAAACATGGCCCAGGCCAACGTTATTTAATCTATATGCCTCTTAATTCGAGTGCATTGAAAATAGTGCAAACTTAAGGCAAGGGGCACACATACACCAACCCACAGCCATTACCTCACGCATACGCACAGCCATATCACGCGGGCAGTGGCAGCCATGGACAGCTGTTTCGCCCTCACTTGGGCTTATCAGCATGGCATATATAGCCATGGGTCAGTGACCGGGGAAAACCCGTGTATAAAAGTCCCTTTCCTGCCGAGGCGAGTGCTTTAAGTGACAGCGCCACACAACACATTTATGTGAGAGCTGTTGGCTGGGAACTGCACGGTAGTGACCGTACATCCACAACGTGTGCGGGGAAGGCGGATCATGGGTTTGGTGTATATGTGTCCCGTGCTTTAATTTGTCTTTTGAAAACAGTGAACTAAACTGTTCTACTGCATAAAGAATTTGAAATCCCGACTTTACACAGCAAATTTTGTCGAGATATTGAAGTTCGTGTTTTTGTCCGAAGTTGCGCACAAGTCATTTTGCGTAAAAATTAAGTGGTCTTATAAGCAAACTTAAAATCTTCGAAAAATCATATTAAAGTACGCGAATATTCAACGTACAGACTTATATTTGGTCTCTTTAAAGCTAAAAAAAATTATGGCGCGCTAATGAAACCTTCCGAATTATTTTGCTTCAAAGACACACAAAATTTCGCGGCGTTATTATTTTTCTTAGCGGCATGCAATAAAAAATCCCAGCGGGCAAACACAATAGATATCGCGTAGGATGGAAATGATCCATTTGACGATTGGTTGAAGACGGGATAAGCACGGGAGTCACAAACACGCACACAGCTCGTGGATTCTCTGATATGTATCACGTGTTCGCTCGAAAACAATACATGCTCTGTTCTGCATTACGTCATGTTTGCCTTAGATTACTCTATGTTACATCGATTCGAGATTTTTTCTGCCCCTGGAACAATCGCGCAAGGCTCTGTTAGGCTACTGTCGCCTCGCAGCCTCGCGTCTTCGCGAGGCTGCTCGTTGGCAATAAACTTTGTATACGCTTTACATTTACCTATGTACACCTTATTTACACCCTAGATACACCTCATATTCACCTATATACACCTTATATACACCTATATATACCTTCGATTCTATACACGTTTTATTTAACTATGTGAAACCTATGTACAACTTAAATACACCTTATTTACACCTATAGACACCTCAAATTCACATATATATATACACCTTATATACAACCCATATACACCTTGTATACTCTTCATATCCTTTTCTATACACCTTATATACAACTATATACATATTGTATACACCTATATATACCTTTTAAACGCTATGTACCCCTTCTTGACACCTAAATACACCTCATATTCACCTATATACACCTTATATACAACCTATATATACACCTTTATACACCTTATATATACATTTATGTACAATTTTTTTCTCCACCTATCCACCTCCATGCACCTTATATCCAACTTTATTAAAAACTGAATCATTGGATAATGCAATTCTAGCATTTTGATTGGCTTAGCCGTTATGGTATATGAGCTAATATACCATGTTCTCCATATATGGTCGGTGTACGCGTCAGTTTAAAATTGGAAGCTAGCTGAGATTTTTTTTCGCGAAGGATAGACCGGCGCCCGAAGCAAATGTTTTAATTCATTTCTTAGAATACTAGAAATGCAATTTCATCGAAAGAAAAAAGACAAAAACAAACAAACAAGCCACAAGAGCTTGTTTGAAAGTTTGTCGAAAAACACATGAAAACACATGGAACTAAAGTACCTTGACCAGCTACGAAAGAAGACAAGTGTTGTTTCTTCGTGATCGCGAAGCCATTCGCCGATCGAGTCACTCGCCGATAGATAACTGCAGCTTGTTTATCCGACATCAAGAATATAAATCACAAGTAACCAGCTACAAATACAGGCTATGCAGCCATTCACTAGAGCAATCGAGGCGGCAGTATAGCTTCTTTTCTCGTTCAGCAAAACCAGCTTGTGGCTTCAAACAACTTCATAACAAGCGACCGAGGTAATACCGGTAGTTTTTCTCCGTTGTTCTAACTTTTATAACTGCACCGAAAATCCAAATTCATAGTAATTTCGACGGCTGTCACTTAAAAATTCCTTTCCTTCACATTATCTGCCAGGTTTTTTTAACTGTTCTGCTGTGTAAAATCCTAGAATCCAGATGAGTTTTTAAAAAACTAATGTTCATCGCTACAATGTTTTGATTTTTCATTCATGCAGTCTAGGCGAGTCCGTTCGCGCGTTGACAGTTTTGATAGACGTGTGACATGTGAATAGCGGAAGTCCCTTGTCTTTTCCGGTTTTTCTAGTCGGGGCGATTCAACGAGATTTTGTGGGCGTTTTTAATAAAACAATTATTCCACTCGGGCTTGTTGGATATGAAATGATTATAGCCAACTCGGCGCTACGCACCTCGTTGGCTATCTATCATCTCATATCCAACGCGCCCTCGTGGAATAATTGTTAAATATACGTCATATATAGACCTTATATAGACTTATACACGCCTCATATTCAGCTATTTACACCTTTAGTAAAATCCAACCAGTGGTCTATATGATAGTCAGTTAATCTTTTTGTATCGAGTTTTGTAAGCTCTAGCATCAACGGTTTAAAAGAAAACACCGAAAATTTAAATTACTACCCAATTCTGAGAAGAAAAGTAGAGCTTTATTTGTTTCTGTCAACTTACCGTGAATGAGAAAGTTTTCTTTGTCGCTTCTTGCAAATGCTATCAACAGTGGCAACGATCAAGGTGAGCGTTGTTTATCTCCGATGTTCTTTGCCTTGTTAACTTGCTGGCACGTACAGTTTTCGAAAATATTTGCCTTCCTCTTTTCTCCATAAATTAACTTCTATTTATAGGCAAAATTGGTCTTGTGAGAAAATCCCGAAATCACAAAACAGTGACAAAGCGACCTTGTTTACCTCTGTAGTGGTAAACATAGCTTCGAGCGTACAAAAAGTCAGTAAACCACTTCACAATAAATCACGCTGTTTAAACACCATGAAGTCTTTTCTTGCCTTCAAAGTCATCAGCAATTGGATATTCATATTTTCAAAAAGGCTTTACTATGAAACTTTGGCAAAACACCCAGTTCACGACAGCGATTTTGTTCTGCTTTAAATTCACCGCCTAGCGCGGTGAATATAACGTCATAGTCCGAGATAGCTAACCAATTAGACTGCTTGAATTACCAAGATCACTGAGTGTGTATATACTAAAGAACCTATAAACACCTTATGTAGAACGTATATACACCTTACATACACCTATATATACCTTCTATACACTTTATATCTACTTATATACGCCTATATAAACCTATATACATTTACATGTATATACTCTCATACTCCTTATATCCATCTCTATACACCTTACATACAAATATATACGTCTTGTATACATTTTATAAAGAACCTTTATAAAATAACTGAAATAGTATGTGCGTTCTGATTAGTTAAAAGCCTATGGTTTATTGTGACGGTAAACTCATAGAAAACTTTAAGTTATTTTATAAAAGCAATAGACCACACTTTCTATGGGTTTACCAGCATGATAACCCGCTTGGGATGTCGGGAGAACACTCGAAAAGCTTGTAAATCACCCGCCTTCGGCTCTTGATTTACAAGCTTTTCTCGTGTTCTCTCAAAATCCCGCGTGGGTTATCACGCCGGCAAACCCATAGAAAACGTGGTCTATTGCTTAAATATACACCTTAAATAGACCTATATACTCCTCATATTCAGCTATATACACTTTATATACACCTATATATACCTTAACTAGACCCATATACCTCTCATATTCAGCTATAAACACCTTATATACACCTATATACATTTATATACAACTCATATCCACCTCTACACACCTTATATACAACTATATACAACTTATATACACCTTATATAGAACCTATATACACGTTATATAGACATATTCACACCTCATATTCAGCTATACACACCTTACATACACAGTGTTTAGTCCAAATTTTATTTTGATTTATTTTTGCGTTCACTTCCCTTTTGGACACTACGTGACTACTTATATCATGTTAGTTTCGGATGGTCACATGACCACAGCAAAACCAGATCACCACGTGTTTTCAAGTGTAGTGTTATAGAGCAAATGTTTTGAATTTCTCATCGATTGCATCGCACAGAATGTAAGTAGTTTTCGCTCTTTAGTGTCGCTTTAGGTTTATTTAGGTTTTCTTTAGGTTTATTTGTCATTTTTGCTTATTTTATGTTCAGTTTTCACCGTTCATGACCAGTGATCACCGATCGAACCAAGCACGAGAAACTTGGCGATTAAAGACAGATTAATAGTCCAATCAACGCGTCGAAATTTCTGTGTCGACCCCAACATTGTGAAAAAATTCTGCAAAGTACGAAGAGAAAACTGTGTTTTCACCTGGATTTTCGAGAAAACGAACGCTCAGAACCGACCGAACGGAATCGCAGGAATCTCTGGACTGGACCGCGCGATAGTGGATCGCGGAATGGACCCTGAGGACTCAGCGAGAGGAGCAGTTGGATACTCCCTACGCCAGGACCCCGTACCAAATACTCAAATTGATTTTAGTGAACTTGTGCATCAACGCGAAATAAGGGAACAACGCAGACTTGCATCTTTGTGGAACAAGGAATCTAAAGAAGTTGCCTTTGAAACACAGCAGCTCCAAACTCTCCTCTACACTAACTGGGAGCACTTGTCCGCCCGCAAAATAGTAGATCATTTAGCTATCATTTGGAAATCCTTTGAGACTGTACACTCGAAGTACCTGCCAGGCATACGTGACAGCAAACGACTACAAGAAGTACAACAAAGGTTCAAGTCCCTCAAAGAACAGATGATGTTTACAATAGAAGAATGCGAAACGCAAATACGGACTGATCAAGAAACACAAGAACGTGATGATGAACGCTCCATTAAAAGTCACAAGTCGCACCAGTCTCAGAGCTCCACTACTTCAAGATCCTCTTCGTCGTCCCGGAAAGAAAGGTTTAGAGCCATGCTTTTAGCAAAAAAGAAATTGGAGTTAGCGAAGAGTAGGGCACAAGAGGAAGCTGAGTTGGCGAGGAGCAAGGCTCAACAAGAAGCCGAATTGGTCAAAGCAGAGCATGAGCGGAGCGCCAAGAAGGAATTGAGACTACTCGAGGACGAAGCCGTTCTAGCTGAACTGGATTGGAAGATTGAAAATGAGTTCGACGAGGAAACTGGTGTTGTTAATGGTGTGGACAATATTGTTCAGACATCCTATCCCATTGAGGAGAAACCACTGGGACAGTCTCCTCAAATTCAACTTGATGATTCAGAACCCCGAACACCAAAAAATCCCAGCACCGACACCCAAACCTTCACTGCCTCTTATACCTGTCAGTTGCTCCACCCCCCAAGACACAGCACCTGGTTCGTGCAAGGAAAAGCCAGCCACTGAGGTCAAATCCAATATTGCCGATACTGCAAACAAGGGAGCACTGCCAGTCACTGAATGCCAGCAGCCACCATACCAAGCCCCACGAACCTTCCAGTATAGACCTAAGTCTCAGCCAGAAGACAAAGTAATAGAGCAAGCCCCTAAAGACCATGTAGCAGCCATGTGGAAGGTACAGCTTCTGAACGGAATCTCTCCTACACCCTTTAATGGCAACCCAGCAGACTTCCCGTTCTTCAAAGAACAAGCACATACTCACCTTGAAAGTGAGCTACTAACTGATGCGCAGCGGGTAGAGTACTTACCGAAGTTCCTGAAAGGAGAAGCCTTGGAGGTCATCAAAAGAAACCGAGGCTCCTCCTATAGTGAGCTAATGAAGATCTTAGAGGAACGCTTTGGTCGCCCTATTCAGGTGACGCAAGCCTGCATCGAAGAGTTAGTCTCAGGCCCCAAACTTGCCTATGGTGACAACATGGGTCTGCTTAATTTTGCCGAGAAGCTGAACACTTCAACCAAGGTTCTGAAGGGAGATGTGGAACGCGAAGCAAGCGTAGCTACCAATTTAAGAAGAATCGTAAACAGACTCCCAAATGATTTAATCACCAAGTGGCAGACCGAAAACTACGAGATTGTTAGCCGTGGTGGAACTGCACGACTAAAGGACATTGCAAAATTCGTGAAAAGGCAAGCGTCAATAAGGAATGACCCAGTGTTTGGAATGCAGCCGCAAAGGGGAAAAACAGGACAAACAAGTCCCCCCAAAGCTTCTAAAGGATCGGACCTGCCCACGAAAAACGCTACGATCAACGCCACATCGCTTAAGAACGCCCCCAAGAAAGAGAACTCTGCAAACTGTGCAATTTGCAAGTCTACTCCCCACCGACTCCAGGAGTGCCCAATCGTCAAACAGTGTGACCGTGTAGCCGTGCGTCGACAATACGCAGCATCGTATGGGTTCTGCTTTAACTGTGGTTGCCATAATCCCGATCACAGTGGTACTTCCTGTCCTGAGCCACCAGCTTGTTCTCTGTGTCCTGGGCACCACTTACCAATACTGCATAGGGACAACAACAATGGACGCAGAACTCCTGGAAACAAGAACACTCATAACCCCACTAACCGATACAGTACTCCGACTGCTGACCCAATAACCCGGCAACCACAAATGGAGCAAGGCACAAGACAGCCGCCCAGCGACAGGCCACAGACTTCGATTACATCTGCCGGTGTCAGCACCACAAGAGCCCAAGTTTTGTTAAATGTAGTTCCTGTAACCATTACTGCAGAGAACGGTGGTTCCCTTTCTACATATGCATTTCTTGACAATGGGTGTACCGATACCCTCATTGACAAAGAGCTTGCTGATCATCTTGACCTGAAAGGGATCTCGGAGCAAATCGGGATTAAGACTATTACGAACAGTGAGGAGCTGGTGGAGAGTCGACGCGTTTCCTTTACTCTCAGTCCTGTAGAAGCATATGGTGAAGACATTGATGTTAATGAAGCTTACGTTCTCCCTGACCTGAACCAATCAGAACGAGTTTTGCCGGGGACAGTAGATGTCCATAAGTATCCGCACCTTCAAGACCTTACATTCCCAGTGGTGGACTTTAAACGAGTCTCGATCATTGTGGGGAGTAACGTCCCTGTTGCACACTTGCAGAAGGAAGTCAGAATCCCGAAAGACAACAAGAGCGGCCCCTACGGTTATCGGTACCCTCTCGGTTGGAGCATTTCAGGTCCATTGACTATCGCTGGGACAAGAAGAGCTGAGCTCAATTTCATCTCTGTTGGACACAAACCTGACGACTTTGTTGAAAGGTTTTGGAAGATCGAAGACTATGGAACATTGAAAGCAGGAGAGAAGCCCTTATCTGTGGAAGACAAACGAGCCCTAAAAATCATTGAAGAAACTACTACCTTTGTAGACGGGCATTATGAAGTTGGCCTACTATGGAAGGAAGATCAGCCAAAGCTGCCAAACAATCGCATTTTAGCTGAAAGACGAGCAGAATTGCTTAGACGACGCCTGACCAAAGCAGGAAATGAGCAAATGGCTGCTAAGTACCGTGGAGTCATGACTGAGTACATCTCGAAGGGCTATGCACGCAAATTGTCCCCTGAAGAAGCAGCTAGAGAAAGCTCGATAACTTGGTACTTGCCTCATCATCCAGTGACCAATCCCAACAAACCTGACAAGCTCCGTATCGTCTTCGATGCCGCATCTGAGTATGAAGGAACATCTCTAAACAAGAATCTCGTTCAAGGGCCAGACATGACAAACAGTCTCGTTGGTGTGCTGCTGCGATTTCGACAGGGGCATGTAGGGGTAGCCGCTGATGTCGAGGCAATGTTTCATCAAGTGCGTGTGCGTAAACAAGATCAAGAAGCTCTACGATTCCTCTGGTGGACAGATGATTACGACAAACCCCGGATGTCTATGTTATGGAAGTACACATATTTGAGCAACCTCGTCCCCTTGCGTTGCAAATTCGGCCCTGAGAAGAACAGCCAGTGACAATGCTGAAAGGTTCAACCCGCAAGTTGTTGCAACTGTTGACAGGAACTTTTATGTTGACGATGCTCTGCCATCCTTCAGTGAGGAGAATGCAGCATCTACTGTAGCATCGGACCTAGTGAAAATCCTGAATCACGGTGGCTTCAACCTTACAAAATTCATGACGAACAGTAAGAATGTTTTGGCAACCATTCCCACCGAGAAAAGAGCCTCACCAGATCTGAATCTTGACTTAGACGAACTGCCAGTGGAAAGGGCGCTAGGGATTCGCTGGTTTGCTGAAACAGATGAGCTTGGATTTGACATCAAGAACTTGAATCGACCCGAAACAAAGCGTGGAGTACTGTCCGCCGTTTGTTCCCTGTATGACCCTCTTGGGTTTGCTGCGCCTGTGGCCCTTACTGCCAGAGTAATTATCCAGGATATGTGGAAGGCTAAGGTAGACTGGGACCAGCCACTCGAAGAAAACTTCTTAGCCAGATGGAAGTCTTGGACCTCACAGCTGTCATCCCTCTCTGCACTGCGCATCCCACGTTGCTACTTGCCAGCTGGAACAGATGCTTCCAAATGCAAACTACAGCTGCATATCTTCTCTGATGCCTCTGAAATTGGCTACGGTGCATCTGCGTATCTAAGAGTCGAGAATCCAGATGGGTCTATTCACTGCTCGTTTGTTGTGGGGAAAGCAAGAAATGCACCTGTCAAGTTCACAAGCATTCCAAGGCTTGAACTCCAAGCTGCTGTTCTGTCTACACGCTTGAATAAGATGCTGAGAGAAGAGTTGGACCTTCCTATTCAGAGCACCAAGTTCTGGACAGACAGCGAAATAGTTCTCCACTACTTGAAGAATGAAAGGCGTCGTTTCCAGACCTATGTCGCTAATCGAGTCGAAGAAATCAGAGGAAACTCACAGCCAGACGACTGGAACCACGTGCCAGGTGTCTTGAACCCAGCCGACGATGCGTCACGTGGCTTGAACCCCTCTGAGCTAAACCTTGATCACCGCTGGCTACGAGGACCAGAGTTCTTATGGCAACCTGAATCCTTTTGGCCCAACGCAAGCCTTCGAGAAGTCCCCGATGAAGGCCTAGAGCTTAAGAAAGAAACCCATGCTAACTGTACTGACATAAACACCAATGTCAAGACCCGCCAGGCAAGCGTACAGTCTAATTGCCCCCCGCCACACCTGTTGAGACCACCATGCAACAAATAATAAGCACCTCCTCTGATTGGAACCGTCTCAGACGTCAAGTGGCTTGGCTCACACGCTTCACTCATTTCATCCGTGACCGGAAGACTGTCCACACAGGTCATCTGACTTTAGAAGATTACGATGCTGCTACCTTATCCATCGCAAAGATCGTCCAGCACGCAGCCTACGATCAAGAGATCAAGGATCTAAAGACCAGGGGCGAAGTCAGGGGATCCAGTAAGATCGCTAGTTTGAACCCAATGCAAGACGACCATGGTGTTTTGAGAGTCAAGGGACGTATAGCATCACCACCAGCTGCTGACACTGCCAGGAATCAAATAATACTGCCCAGAGATCATCCAGCGACAGTCCTGATGGTCCGCCACACCCATGCATCAATTGGTCACCTGGGGCGTGAACACCTCATAGCAAGGGTTCGAGAGACGTTCTGGATCCCACAAATAAGGGTGTTAACTCGTTCTGTCCTGGGTCGGTGTCTTGTTTGTAAGAAGTTGAATGCCAAGCCGATGACTCAGCAAATGGCTCCCCTGCCAAGAAGCCGGATGATGGCGTACGAACCCCCATTCTCCTACACAGGAATGGATCTATTCGGTCCTTTATACGTCAAGCATGGAAGAGGAACAGCCAAACGGTGGTGCTGCTTATTTACCTGCCTAACGACACGTAGTGTACATCTTGAATTGGTTCACTCGATGGACACAAACGACTTCATAATGTGTCTGCGACGATTTATGAACCGTCGTGGTGAAGTGACTGAACTAAGGTGTGACAGAGGATCAAATTTTGTCGGCGGTGAACGAGAGCTGAGAGAGTCGATCGAGCAGTGGAACCAGCAACAAATTGTGCAAGAGCTTCTACAACGAGGGTGCAAATGGGTCTTCCAGCCGCCAACTGCTTCTAGCATGTCTGGGATTTGGGAGCGGATGGTGCGAAGTGCTAAGACTGTTCTGAAGTCTATCCTAGGGACCCAAGTAGTTACGGAAGCAGTTCTTCAGACGCTGTTGACTGAAGTTGAACGAGTGTTAAATGGGCGAGCGCTCACCGCCAATTCAGACGACCCAAATGACCTTCAGCCACTCACGCCAGCGCATTTCTTAATGCAGAGGAAGACTATCTGCCTACCCCTGGCATATTTGAGAAAGCAGATCAGTATCACAGAAGGAAATGGAGGCAGGTACAATTTCTGGCAGACCTATTTTGGAAGAGGTGGTTGCGTGAGTATTTACCTACCCTGCAAGCCCGAGGAAAGTGGAGAAAGGTCTTACCTAACCT